GCTGGTTTGTGTTGCTTGTATGGTCAGTTCTTGTCCTCTCTCAGCTGCTTTTGTGTTAAGATGCTCTCCAACATCTTCTACCCTCTGTTGATGTAACATTTACTTCATTACTTTAAAATAAAAGTACCATTAGCCAAAAATGAAGTGCCTGTATGTACAACCCGGCCACACACACAATATATCTGTATGAACTGCTACCTGGAATCTCATCAGAACTATATGCCAATAAGAGTTGTTTTCCCTATATTTACCTTTTCGTGCTGCTGTTCCTTCTTCCTGGCACTCCTTGCACCTTGAGAACCTTAAAAAATGTCAAAATAAAATGAAGCGGAGGGGCTTCTTTGTCGAAATCTCCGCTCCCCCTTAAATGGTGCATCAGTTCCACTCACGCGTCTACATTCTGCTGCACCATTTAAGGTGGAACGGAAAGAATTCAAATAAAAAGTCAAATTCAGTCCTAACAAAAAAGTCAACTAACAGAACTGGCGCTATGGACAATAATTAATGAGCTCATGTTACAACGGTTCACTAACATTAGTGTGTTGCGACGTTACGGCTGAAATAAATAACAATTAACGTTGACGGTGTTTGGTTAACAACCTGGTGAACAAAATAGCCTGTCTGCCGTTAGCTGGTGCTGCTTCATAGCTAACAAGCTAACGTTAGCTGAGGTTACAGCTCAGTTTGAAATAGATTAAAATTCAAATAATGCTCGTCTATTTCATTAACTTGTCTGAAATCATTAACTTGTCTTAAACCTGCTGAACTGTAAAACTTAACAAAAGTACTACACACAAGGACAGCATTTATCTTACGTTTCTCACTTCTTTTCAAACTTTAATCGTAGCAATGCAGTCATCACCGCTCACACTGTCGCCTCCTGAGATCCAACTTGTGGTGTGTCGACTCTTTGAATCGGCTCTTTTAGGTGAACAATGGGAGCAGACTCGCACTGAAGAGCTGATTTATTCATTATTTTTAAATTCAGGTTGAGATGTTTAGAATTTATGAGGCTGTAGCTGAGAATTCCTAATCATTCTCTGGGATTGTTTCAGGACCCCCTCCTGGATCTCTGTTATGGTACATTGGATCAGTACCCTCATTATCCCCAATGCCTGTTGTGTTAATTTGGCTCTGGTTTTGCTCTTAGCTGTGTTACCAAGTGTGCCTCATCAGTTCTTCAGATTTTTTACTTTAATTTGATTTTTGACCTGCCTTTGTTTGTGACTGCTTTATGGATTTGCCCACATTTAACCTTCGTTCCTGTCCCCTGCCTCTCAAAATTCATCGCGTTTTGTTCATTAATTAATTAAAATGTAGATGAACTCAGATTTGCTGAAAATGAAATAAATAATATTGCTAAAAGTGCCACTGAATGAAGAACCGTTTGGGAGGCGAAAGAGCCGAGTCTTCTATGTGAGCCGAACCGATTTATCTGACTCACTGAAGAGAGCCTCAATGTTCATCACTGTTGGAGAGTCGATTCCAAAAGAATCGTTCGACTCTAATACGTCTAGTACCAGGGGTTCCTTCACTCACTTCACCTGCTGCTTTGACGCCCATCCATCCATCCATACAGTCTTTAAACATACCTTTATTTTAGTATGACTACCAAAGTGCTTTTTATTCCATTTTAGAAGTGTAACAAGGTATAACTCTAAGCTTTCTCTGCACGCATGCTACAATACTCCACTACAATAGGAAATGGCTCATGTGGTTGAACGTCATGACTGCTTACAGATTAGAACGATCACAATAAGCAGCGTTTCACAGCAATGCTGCCCCCTTCTGGTCATTTATTTTTTTTTACAATCCACAAAAGCTCATTCTGTTTCTAAAGCTCTGACAATATAAAGGTTCCAAAACTGTTAAACATTTTAATTAACATGTGATATAAATAAAAACAAACCAAAGTTATACCAATAAAATAATCACAATCACTGATTCTAACAGAAATAATGTTAGAAAATCAGAAATATCTCATAGTTTTGTTGCTGTAGAAACAATCATCAGGCCAAAATGTTCTGTATGTTCATACAGATCCTCTTCAAGTTTCCATGGTCCTAATGGTCTGTTAGATGAATGGAGAATGGAAAATACTTGCTGATGTTTCAACAAGTATCATTTAGAGAAACTGTTTTTTTTTTTCATTTGCTTCCTACAACTACGTAAAAGAAGACTGTGCAACAACAACAAAACATTTTCTTCATTAATACAGTCACAAATGTAACTTCAAATGGAAAATTGAGCAGCTTTCTTTTAGCTGGAATTTCCACCATATAATTATATTTCCAAATATGTGCACTTGTTTTACAAAATTACAGGCATTTATATGATTATATATTTGAGCAAATGTTCAGGAAATACTCATCATGTAACATCAACAATGACTAGCAGTTTTTCTGTTTTACTCTTGAGGAACCAGGTGAAAAAACACACCGAGGATTTTGTTCAAATCTTAATCTTAAAAGCTCTGGCAGAAATCGTTAGCTTATTAAGTCTGACAGTAGGAGATCACATTATGATTTAATAGTTACATGCTGTCCCAGCCCGTTTGATTAGCTAGAATTTCTTTACTGTCTGTTGCAGACCAGTGTTGTAGGCAGAAATAAAATATCAGCTAGACCTGTGAAAAGTGAGTAGGTCAACTTGGTACATTCCATTTCCCAAAATGACATTGCGGCATATTAGCATAATATTAGGCTATAGCCTATTTCTGACAGTTTTGCAGTCATTACCCTACATAATCAAACATTTTCACCCCCGTGATGATTCAAAACAACAGCAATAAATCAGAAAGTTGATTCACATAAACACAACTAGCACTACAACACCCTTTATTTTAAAGACTATAAAGCATTCGTCTGCTCACCACAGGCACGTTTACCCAATGACAGGACATAACAAAGTTTAAATTAAACAGCTGACATGTACAAAGATGCAATAAAAACACAGCAAACAAAACAACCTTAAAAACCTAAACCTAATCATCCCTAGGCTAAAGCATACTGCTGCAGCAAGCATGAAAAATGTTTACATTTTACATTTATGTCTTATCGCTAATGACTCAATGCACTGAAGTAATAGTAGTTGTTTGCTTGGACATTTGCACAAAGCCTACGTCAGCTCTTGTGGCAAAACAGCATTGTAAGCTAGATCTTAGAAAACTGGAGCTTCAAATTTAACCACTGGCATGTTAATGACATACTGAAGGCTTGAGGAAAGGGCGGATAGCAGTGGTCACTAAGCAGTGATTAGAAGGCTAAGAAAAGTAGGCAAAGCTTTATGGAAAATGCATGATTTGACTGACCATAATACATTGACAGCCCACCCAGAAAACAAATAAAATGTCATTATGTTAAAAAAAAACCTTAATAAATATTATTTCCTTATGTTTGAGTAGCCTGTGGTCAATTTTACCCTGCTTAAAACATGAAATGTTACTGTTGTTAAATGTACTGTTCCTTTTGGTTTTTGTAATGTTTTTTTTTGTTTTGTGATGGGTTGATATCACAGTGTAAAGGTTCCTAATAGTTTAATTTGTGATCGATTTCAGATGCATATGATGGTTTTCTAATAGGATCTGAAGGTGTTCTTTGGAGTTTTGGAGATACAGATATCAAGTCTTCATTTAAACAGTCAGGATTATGATCGCTGTAAAACAGTGACAAATGTTTAGATTTTCTCATAATTGCTTACGCCGGCCACCTAGTGGCCCATGTCCATAAAAAACACTGGATGGTCTGGGCCTGTATATGGATACATATATATATGCATACAACAAGACCAAACATAGTTATACTTGATCACTAGTAAGGTAGCGTTATCCTTTATATTTATTAGATTTAAGCATCAATTAATTTTCATTTTTGCATACAGAATAATACAACGGGGCTTCCAAGTAGGATTTCACTTAGAACCCTCAGATGTTTAGAAATGCCTCTGCATACGGTGCGATGTAAAAGTCACAGACCATCCTTCATATATTTAATTTACAGTCAAAATAAACACAACTTAGTCATTCATTCATATTTTTGCTTCAATGCCATAATCCATTTATACTTAGGCAAAAGAAAAAGTGAAAAAAAGGAGTTTCCAAAATTTTTGCATTGTTTAAAGATACAGAGAAAACAGGACTCCTAACAAGCATACAAGAGCTGGTAGACCACCAAATCTGTCCTCATCAGAAAAACAGCACTTAAAGCTCTCATGTTTGAGAGAGAGGAGAAAATCAAGCTGCTTCAGACCTGAAAAAATCCACAGGTGTTTCTGTCCATCCTTCCACTGTGAGAAGACAACTCAACACTATGAGTCTAAAAGGACGTGTAGCTGTCAAGAAGCAGTTACTGAGAAAAAAGAACACCCCATCTTAATCAAATAATGCTCCTGGTGCTCTCAGAACAAAGGACTGACCACTCCAGCGTCCAGACCTCAGCATCACAGACTGTGTTTTCGGATCACTTGGATGGTGAGAAGCAGAAAATGCAACAAATTAGGACTGAACTTTGGAAGTGTTTAAATATTTCTCTGCAGATTTGTTTGAGAAACTGAAAGCAAGTCTCCTGAAAAGAATAGTAGCTGGCAGAGTGCACACACTAAACACTGACAATATATATATAGTTGTTGAGGCTTCTGAGTAATTTAACTGTTTAATGTTTCTGCTTTTTTCTCACAACTGAAAAAAAAAACTGACTTGTACTTAATGACTGTTTTGACTTGAAATTAAACAACAGACATATAGTATCTGACTTTTCCACAGCACTGCATATCTATAGGCCTCTGTCTCTCACTGTCTCTCTGTCTCACACAATAGTTTCCACATGTATCTTTGAGCTGATGTGCGCAGCAAAGACAGCACAGATATATTTTAGGCCTGTTTTCACACCTCTGTGGTCAACAGCTTCTGATGTCATTTCTTGTCCTAGCCATTTCTTTACTGGTGAACTGCAGTGAACACTGCAGTTTCTGTACTAAAGGTTGAGTAGAGTACTAGAGAAACACAGAGAGACAGAGAGCGAGAGAGAGAGAGAGAGAGAGAGAGAATGGCAGAGGGAATCTATAATAATGTGAGCAGTGTTGAGCTGAGTGAAGCAGACAGAGGAGAGAGAGTGGAGAAGACGGTGACGATTTATATGAGTGCAGACGCTGTTAGAGCTCAGGAGACCAACACACAGAGGGAGACAACAACTCAGCAGACAGGTAGAGTAACTCTCAGTGCACAAACTCTCAGTGTGTTCACAATGAGAACTTCTTCTAAGTCAGTTCACTCTTTATCAGTTGTTAGAACAGGAATCAGATGTTCCAGACTGGCTGTGGTGTGTGTGGGGCTGCTGTGTGTTCTCCTGCTGACCACCAACATAGTGCTGTATATGTACTGTGAGTGTTTCAGTCTTAAACACAAATATTTCATCTTCCAAATACAGATATACAGAATGCATCTGCTGTAATATAAAAACTGTAATTCTTTCTGAATGTAGATATTAGGGACCAAACCATCATTGCAAACTTAACTGCAGGGAGAGAAACTCTCTTATCCAGTATCAGAAACCTGACTGAAGAAAGAGACCAGCTAAAGAGCAGCTACCAGAATCTGACTGAGGAGAAAGAGCAGATAAACAACACTTACAGAAACCTCATTCAGGAATATCACATTTTACAGACCAAATTTCATCATTTAGTGAAGCTGATTGGTGAGTGAAACACCATCCTCACAGTAAAAACACAAATATTCCTTCATGCTTCTAAAATACGTTTGTTCTCATTGCTCTGTTGTAGAGAAAAGCTGTTTTAAAGAATTGAAGACTTTTGGAAGCAGCTTTTACTTTTTCTCCACTGAGAATAAGAGCTGGAGTGAGAGCAGACAGGACTGCAGAGAGGGAGGAGCAGATCTTGTGATCATAAATAGCAAAGAAGAACAGGTCAGTTGGGGGGGTTGTAATTTTATGTATTGCTTACTATTGATTATTATTTATTAATTTAGTTTTTTTTTCAGATGTTCCTCATTGACCAAAAGAATGAGAGAATTTCTGGATTGGTCTGACTGATGAAGACACAGAAAATACATGGAAGTGGGTGGACGGCCAACCACTGACTGACGAGTATGTCAAGATAAGATACAAACAAGTAGTTAAAATCGATGTAACACATAATTCTTCCCTTTTCTATTCATTATCTTGTATTGCATTTATATTTAAAGTAAAGCTACCATTTTCTCTGAGAGTTTATGAAGGTGTTCTTGTACAGAACTGACACTGTATAGAGTAAAGACCCTCAGTAGCTGCTGTGAACTGGTTTATTTTGAGTTCTTGCTTTGTAACATGTGATGATTACAGATTAATGCTGTGTCTGATTGTCAGATTCTGGAGGAACAGTGAACCCAACAATGGTGGTGGTGAGGAGGACTGTGCTATTTTCACCACTGCAGACAAAGACAGTCAGCGAACATGGAACGATCTTTCCTGCTCAGGGAGAGAAAACTGGATGTGTGAATTCAATCTGACCAACTTCCACCAGAATACTTCAACTAAACATTATTAGATGTTCACTGTTAATCTTGGGATAAAGGCATAATCAGAGGCTTTAGAAGCTGTTGAACTGAAATTTAGAGAATACAGGACTTGAGCATGTTACTTTGACACAAATATAATTCACAAACAAAATTCTAAATGAGAACCAACAGATGTTACAGATGTTTTTTGTTTTTGACAAAAATATATTGCAATTATCTATTTTTTATTGTTAGTTGTGATATTGCTTTTAAAAAATAAAAATCAAATGATATAGTTTACATGAAGTAGACAGGATGTTTAAATGTATTCATGAAGGTTTAAAGACATTACAAATTGAATAGACACTTTTGTTATCAGTTATAGAGTTTCTGCTATTTTAACTGTATCTTATAAACATGCTGTACATTGATGGACCTCTGTTACCATGGGGACTGAAGGGGTGGAGCCTGTACCACCATGATTTTCCATTGGCTGAATGTGCTGCAGGCTGGATGTGGGGTGTGTTCAACACAAAATATAGTTAGCTTCATAAACACACTGTAGGACCTTTTTAAAACAGCCATAGACGGTTTCACTTATACACAGTTTTCTCTGAGTTTGAGGCTGCATCATCCCAACATTTACTCCCTGATCAGTTAAACTATGTAGCTTGAGCTAAAGTGCTATGATGGTTTAAACTCTTACCGTTCAAGGCCTACTATATGTAAAAATATTGCAGCTTTAAGTTATAATCTGTGTGTGTGTGTGTGTGTGTGGTCTGTGTTAGACATGAGGCAAATAATATAACAGAAATCTGGCGTGTCAATGGTAATGCAGCATGTCTCCTTCTTTGATCTGTTTTTTAATACTGGACAAGAGGGTCTCCCTCTGTGCAGTGAAGTGGGACACAGAAGACATTGCGCATGCAGGCAAGTGCTCTTTTACTGAACAGGCAGCAAGAGGAAACCACCACCCAACAGGGCTGAATGAGAGGGCATAGTGGGACGGAACAGCAGCAGTGGCAAAAGTACCTTATTTAGCATGGAGGACTAGGCCTCACAGAGATCTGGCCAGCACAAGTGCCAAACAACTTGAGGCGACAGCAGCAGCGATTCTGTTCCACTTGGCCACTTGGCTTTGTTTGCTGCCCACCGTGCTGCCAATGCTGGCGAGGGTGCTGCTGGGGTGCGCTGCCATGCTACCCTGCTAGCACCACAACCAGCCTAGGCTCAGGTCATTGAAGGGCATGGTGTGTCCCTCTTTCTGCAGTGCAGCACACCTGTTGCTTTGTTGCACCACTTTCATGGCTTCTCTTTCAATGGATTCTTTGCCACCATGCCAGACTCACTGCACATGTGGGCAAGTGCTCTTTTATTGAACAGGCAGCAAGGGGGAAACCGAAGCCCCTTGAGAGCCTCTCACATAGTTTCTGCATAATTTTTCAGTTTAAGCTGAACATCTGTTTCAAGTGATCTTTAAGCTGTTGTATGCAACAGAATTAGTATGTAATCCTTTGTTGGCCTTGCTTTGGTTTTCACACCTCAAACGTCATTCTGGGTTCTTCTGACGACATTTCCTGTCCTGGCACTTCTGCATTAGTGCACTCCAGACACTGCAGTCTGTGTAGTGAAGAAGGTTGTAGTTTATATACGGTATGTCACAGTGAGAATGGTGGAGGGAATGTATGCTGGTGTGGGCAGCTTTAAGCTGAGTGAGATGGATTCAGAGAAGATGACAGTGGTCATTTATTTCAGTAAAGATGCTGTTGGAGCTCAGAATACCAGCATAGAAACACAGGACACCAACACACAGACAGAGACGAGGACACAGCAGAGTACAGGTAGAGTAACTCAAACAGAGACGTCAGCATCATTTCTAAGTGTGCTCACAATGAGAACTAAATAAATAAGTGAATGTTTTCTTTATCAGTTGTTAGAAGAGGAAGCAGAAGCTCCAGACTGGCTGTGGTGTGTGTGGGGCTCCTGTGTGTTCACCTGCTGACCACCAGCACAGTGCTGTACATGAACTGTGAGTTTTTCAGTCTGAAGCACAAATATTTCCTCTTTCAAATACAGATATACAGAATACATATGCTATAATAAATGTACAACCCCTATTCCAAAAAAGTTGGGACTTCTGTAACTTGTGTGTAACTAAATGTGAATAAAAACAGAATGCAATGATTTGCAAATCTCATAGATACATATTTTATTTTAATCAGATGTTGAAACTGAGACATTTTACTATTTCATGAAAAACATTAACTCATTTAGAATTTGATGGCAGCAACGCATCTCAAAAAAGTTGGGACAGGATCATGTCTACCTTTGTGTAGCATCCCCTCTTCTTTTAACAACCGTCTGTAAATGTCTGGGAAGTGAGGAGACCAATTGCTGGAGTTTCGGGAGCAGAACGTTGTCCCATTCATGCTCAACAGTCCTGGGTCTTCTTTGACGGATTTTTCATTTCAAGATGCGCCAAATATTTTCTATTAGTGGAAGGTCTGGACTGCAGGCAGGCCAGATTAGCACCTGGACTCAGAAGCCATGCTGTTGTGATGGATGCAGTATGTGGTTTAGCATTGTCTTGCTGAAATAAGCAAGGCCTGAAACAGACGCTGTCTGGATGGCAGCATATTTTGTTGTAAAACCTCTATATACTGTTCAGCATTGATAGTGCCTTTCCAGGTGTGTATGCTGTTCACGCCATAGGCACTAACGCAGCCCCATACCATCAGAGATGCAGGCTTTTGAACTGTGTGCTGATAACAAGCTGGATGGTCTCGCTCCTCTTGAGTCCGCAGGACATGGCGTCCATGGTTTCCATTACAAATTTCAAATTTTGATTCATCTGACCACAGAACAGGTTTCCATTTTGCCTCAGTCTATTTTAAATGAGCTTTGGCCCAGAGAAGATACAGCCTTAACTGGCATTTGTGGCTTGCACAGCAAACTGTGTTCACAGACAGTGATTTCTGGAAGTGTTCCTGTGCCCATGCAGTGATTTCCAGTACAGAATCATGCCTGTTTTCAATGCAGTGCCGTCTGAGGGCCAGAAGATCACAAGTACCCAATATTGACCATCGGCCTTGTCGCTTGTGTACAGGGATTTCTCCAGATTCTCTGAATCTTTTGATGATACTATGTACTGTAGATGGTGGGATTTCCAAAGTCTTCGCAATTTTATGTTGAGGAACATTTCTGAAGTTTTTCCACAATTTTTAGATGCAGTTTTTTGCAGATTGGTGAACCTCTGCCCATCTTTGCCTTTAAGAGACTCTGCCTCTCTAAAATACTTTTTTACACCCAGTCATGTGAGTTAGTTGCAAATTTTATTAGTACCACTTACTTTTCCAGCCTTTGGTTGCCCCGTCTCAACATTTTTAAAATGTGTTGCTGCCATCAAGTTCTAAACTAGTTATTGATTTTCATGAAATGGTAAAATGTCTCACTTTCAACATCTGATTCTATGTTCTATTGTGAATAAAATATAGGTCCGTGAGATTTGCAGATCATTGAATTCTGTTTTTATTTACATTTGTTTACATTTTACACAGCGTCCCAACTTTGTTGGAATTGCAATTCTTCCTGAATGTAGACGTTAATATGAATAAAGTTAACCACCAACCCATTTCTTTGAGTGTAAACTTCACTGCAGGGAGAGAGACCCTCTTATCCAGTATCAGAAACCTGACTGAAGAAAGAGACCAGCTAAAGAGCAGCTACCAGAATCTGACTGAGAAGAAAGAGCAGATAAACAACACTTACAGAATCCTTATTGAGGAAAATCACATCTTACAAACCAAATATGATCATTTAGTGAAGCTGATTGGTGAGTGAAACATCATTCTCACAATTAAGAAGCAAAAATATTCCTTCATGCTTCTAAAATATGTTTGTTCTCATTGCTCTGATGTAGAGAAAAGATGGTTTAAAGAATGGAAGAAGAACAGAAGCAGCTTTTACTTGTTCTCCTCTGGGAAGAAGAGCTGGAGTGAGAGCAGACAGGACTGCAGAGAGAGAGGAGCAGATCTGGTGATCATAAACAGCAAAGAGGAGCAGGTGGGGGGGAAGTAATTTGTCATTTTATTTTCTGATTATTATTGATTATTATTTATTATCTATGTTATTTTTTCAGATGTTCCTCATTGACCAAAAGAATGAGAAGAATTTCTGGATTGGTCTGACTGATGAAGACACAGAAAATACATGGAAGTGGGTGGACAGCCAACCGCTGACTGACAAGTATGTCAAGATACAAAACAGTAGTTAAAATCAATGCAACACATCATTTTTCCCTTTTCTATTCATTATCTCATTGTATTCCATTTATATTTAAAGTAAAACTACCATTTTCTCTGCGAGTTTATAAAGGTGTTCTGGTACAGAACTGACACTGTTTGTATAGAGTAAAGACCCTCAGTAGCTGCTGTGAACTGTTTTAATTTGAGTTCTTGTTTTGTAAACATGATGATTACAGATTAATGCTGTGTCTGATTGTCAGATTCTGGAGGAAGGGTGAACCCAACAATGGTGGTGGTGGTAACCGTGAGGACAGGACTGTGCTGTTTTCACCACTGCAGACAATGACGGTCAGCGAACATGGAACGATCTTTCCTGCTCAGCGACAGAAAACTGGATGTGTGAATTCAATCTGACCAACTTCCACCTGAATACTTCAATTAAACACCTTTAGATTTTCACTGTTAATCTTGGGATAAAGCCTTAATCAGGTAGTTTAGAAGCTGTTGAACTGAAATTTAGCGAATACAGGACTTGAGCATGTTACTTTAACACAAATCACTATTTTAGTTCTAAATTAGTCAGCAGACAAAATACAGATTTTTTTTTTTGTTTACAGCAAATGTATGTGATAATCATTACATTTTCTATTGTTAGTTGTGATATTGCTTTTAATTAAATATAATAAATCTAATTATATTGATTATATGGACTAGACAAAATATTTAAATGATTCCATCATCATTAAAAAGTGAACAGACATTTTTATTATCAGTTATAGAGTTCCTGCTGTTTTAACTGTATCTTACAAACATGCTGTGCATTGATGAACCTCTGTTACCATGGAGACTGAAGGGGTGGAGCCTGTACCACCATGATGTTCCTATGGCTGAATGTGCTGTAGGCTGGATGTGGGGGGTATTCAACACAAGATATAGTTAGTTTCATAAACACACTGTAGAAACTTTTTTAAAACAGCCATAGACGGTTTTCATTATATAAACAGTTTTCTCTGAGTTTGAAATCTGAGTCAAAGGCTGCTCCATCCCAACATTTACTCCCTGATCAGTTAAACTATGTAAAGTGATATGATAGTTTAAACTTTCTTTTAAGGATCAAGGCCTACTGTATGTAAAAATATTGCCGTTTTAAGTTATAATGTGTGTGTTACAACTCCTGCAGAAAAAAAATAAAAAGAAAGCTGGTAATGCAGTATGCCTCCTCCTTCTTTTTTTTTAACCGGACAAGAGGGTCTCCTTCTCTGTAGTGAAGTGGACTCCAGACAAAAAATGATTGGGAATGGATGGTCCTTTGTTCTCTTTCATGTTAATATCTGCATTGAATTTTTTTTTTACAAAAATGGCATATGGTGCTCTCTAGAAACAGTGTAAACCAATCTTTCTGGCTCTTCATCCAGTCTGAACATGCAGAATGTTCTCTTCTTTCTACAATATGTTTAGTTATTAGTGACTAATTCATTGTTAAAATCTAAGGTATTGTAACACCCTCTCTACAGGGCCTGTGGACTACGCCACCCCTTACTTTACGCCTGGAGATAAGGGGAACTCCGTTAAGAGGGAACCCAACTCGGTTATTGAAGTAACATCAGCTCAGTAACAAACCTAAGATCACTATGTGCAATGCAATGGAGTGGTGTAAAGCATGCCGCCACTAGACTTTACACTATATGGACAAAAGTACTGAGACACCCCTCCTAATTACTGAGTTCAGGTGTTTTAGCCAACTGTTTCAGTTGCTAACAGGTGGATAAAATTAAGCATATAGCTTAACAGTTCCAATGGACAAACACTGGCAGTAGAATGAGTCATACTGATGAGTTCATAGGGTGTCACCTCTGCCACAAGTCAGTTTGTGAAATTTCTGTCCTGCTAGATCTGCCCTGTCAACTGTAAATGGAAGCACCTAGGAGCAACAACAGCTTAACCACAAAGCGGTAGACTATGCAAACTCACAGAGCAGGGCAAATGAGTGCTGAAGTGCACAGTGCCTGTCCTCTGCTGAATCACTCTCTAAAGAGTTCCAAATTGCCTCTGGAAGCAACATCAGCAAAAGAACTGTGCATTAGGAGCTTCACGAAATGGGCTTCCATGACCCAGCAGCTACACACAAACCAGTCAAGTCATAGTTTTTTTATTTTTTTATTTTTTATAACACTTTTTACAACAGACGTTATGACAGCACCAACACTCCCAGTTTACCATAATCCTCTATGTCCATGGACTTCCTAGATCTGCACCCTTTAGCTAACGGGAAAAACTTATTACCAAAGACTTGACTAAACAAGTAGGTTTTTAGCCTAGACTTAAAGACTGAGGCTGTGTCCCGAACACTCACTGGAAGATTATTCCAAAGCTGGGGGGGGCTTTGTATGAAAAGGCTCTACCCCCTGATGCAACTTTAGTAATTCTAGGTACTAATAGTAAGTCAACATCTTGTGATCTAAGTAGGCGTGATGGTTCATAATAAGAGAAAAATTCACTGAGGTACTGAGGGGCCATTTAGGACTTTATATGTCAGTAAAAGAATTCTGTACTCAATGCATAATTTAACTGGCAAAAGTGTAGCTTTCATAAAACTGGGCTGATATGGTCAAACTTTCTGGTTCTTGTAAAGACTCTGACTGCAGCATCCAGAACATCCAGACAGTAGGGCATTACAGTAATCCAGCCTTGAGGCAGTAAATGCATGAACTAGCTTTTCTGCATTGATTGGATTGGTGTAAGGCACGCCACCACTGGACTCTGGAGCAGTGGAAACACATTCTGTGGAGAAACTAATCACGCTTCTCTATCTGGCAGTCTAATGGATGAGTCTGGGTTTGACGAATGCCAGGAGAACATTACCTACCTGACTGTATTGTGCCAACTGTAAAGTTTGGTGGAGGAGGGATAATGTTATGGTGTTGTTTTTCAGGGGTTGGCCTAGAACCCTTAGTTCCAGTGAAGGGAACTCTTAATGAAATCGTAATGCTTCAGAGTACCAAGACATTTTGGACAATTGTATACTTCTAACTTTGTGGGAAACAAAGAAGCTGCTGGTATTCTCAGAACAATGGACTGACCACCCCAGAGTTGAGACCTCAACATCACTGAATGTGTTTGGGATCACGTGGATGGTGAGAAGCAGAAAATGCAGGTAACAAAAATGTGTTGCAGGTAACAAAAAATACTGAAAAAATGACATGCTTCTGTGTAATTTTCCATTAATATGTTGTCTGCTTTTTTCCTGACCCTGAAAACTAAATAACTTGTACTTAATGGCTGTTTTTACTGGAAATTAAACAAATGACAAATGACCTTTTACTTTTCCCAAGTACTATATTTACTGATGGGAGTCTGTTTCTCACTCTTGCTCTCTGTCTCACGCATATGCTAATTAAATGGGTCTAATGTGTTCCTTCATAGCCCATGCATCTTTGAGCTCATATGTGCTGCAGAGAGAGCACAAATATACTTGAGGCCTGTTTTCACACCTCTGTGGTTAAAAGCTCCTCTGACATTGTTTCCTGCCCAGACTCTTCTTTGTTAGTGAACTGCAGTGAACACTGCAGTTTCTGTACTGAAGGTTAAGTAGAGTATTAGAGGAAAACAGAAAAAGAGAGAGAGAGAGAGAGAGAGAGAGAGAGAGAGAGAGAGAATGGAAGAGGGAATCTATAATAATGTGAGCAGTGCTGAGCTGAGTGAAGCAGACAGAGGAGAGAGAGTGGTGAAGACGGTGGAGATTTATATGAGTGCAGACGCTGTTAGAGCTCAGGAGACCAACACACAGAGGGAGACAACAACTCAGCAGACAGGTAGAGTAACTCTCAGTGCACAAACTCTCAGTGTGTTCACAATGAAAACTTCTAAGTCAGTTCACTCTTTATCAGACGTTAGAACAGGAATCAGATGTTCCAGACTGGCTGTGGTGTGTGTGGGGCTGCTGTGTGTTCTCCTGCTGACCACCAACATAGTGCTGTATATGTACTGTGAGTGTTTCAGTCTTAAACACAAATTTCCTATTTTCCAAATACAGATATACAGAATGCATCTGCTATAATATAAAAACTGTAATTCTTTCTGAATGTAGATATTAAAGACCAAACCATCATTGCAAACATCACTGCAGGGAGAGACCAGCTGAAGAGCAGCTACCACAATCTGACCGAGGAGAAAGAGCAGATAAACAAAACTTACAGAAACCAGAAGAGTTGGAGTGAGAGCAGACAAGACTGCAGAGAGAGAGGAGCAGATCTGGTGATAATAAACAGCAGGGAGGAACAGGTGGGGGAGGGAGAGAGAGAGAGAGATAGAGAGAGAAACACATCGTTGCTGTCCAATGAAAAACCAAGTATTTCCAAAATATTAACTTTACAGGAGAAGGCAAAACCACTCTTACCTTTTAATGTAAGTCAGTGTAAAGAGATTTTGTTCCAAGTGATTTTAGAGCATTTCTATTGGTCTATTCATCATGAAATTTTTACACAATGTAAGGACAGCTGGTGTGTTGAAATGATGTAGAAAACTAAAAATCAACAAAAATGGAGATACATGGATTTCATTTGACAGCGACGATATTCATTTCATTCTTGTTTTTTGTTCTTGTTTTTCAGATGCTCCTCATTGACCAAAAAAGGGAGCAGTTTCTGGATTGGTCTGACTGACTGACAGAAAACACATGGAAGTGGGTGGACGGCCAACCGCTGACTGACAAGTATGTCAAAAAAAAAAGTTGCATTCTCTGTTATACACTGTTTTTTTTTATGTCATTTTATATTATTTAAATTTAATGTAGAACTACCACAAACTACATTTCACAGACAGTTTATGAAGGTGTTCTTGTACAGAACTGGCACTGTATAGAGTAAAGACCCTCAGTAGCTGCCGTGAACTGGTTTGAGTTTGTAAACATGTGATGATTACAGATTAATGCTGTGTCAGATTATCAGATTCTGGAGGGAAGGTGAACCGAACAATGCTGATGAGGAGGACTGTGCTGTTTGCACCACTGCAATAAAAGAGAGTCAGAGAACATGGAATGATCTTTCCTGCTGTAAGAAACAAAACTGGATGTGTGAACTCAAACTTCTACCTAAATACTTCAACTAAACAGTAGATTTTCATTGCTAATCTGTGTAAAGCAATAATGAGATCATTTAGAATTTAGAGAATACAGGGCTTGGACCAAGCGTGTCATTCTGAAGTCCACGTCTTTCCAAATTAGGGGCCTAAGCAGGTTTTCACTATGAGAAAACTGAACTGTATCTTCAGAAATTTCTTTCATCGCCTCCTGTGGTGAACAAAAATAGACTGTTTGGTCCTGTGTACATTTACCCCGCTGTCTCACTGATTCCTCTGAATTACGAGTCATTAAGGAGTCAAAATACAATAGTGCTACACACTGAAATGACATTGCCTAAAGTAAGTCTGCTATAAAACTTCAGACACTATTATGGACCAACACCAACTGTTATGTTGACTATTCAATGTTATCTGTTTTACCCACATAGAAAAACTATTTTCTTTAAGATTACTTAGACCCAAAGTTCCTAACATGGGATTGACACCAACTACAGAATGTTGGCACAATTTCAGAGGTTCGGGTGCGTGGAAATGTAAACTTATTAAGCAGGAAATAAACCCCTGGCAAAATGTATGTATGTGCACATTTAGATCTATTTGTTAGGTCTAACTTTTAAAAACAAAATTGTTCTTCTCCAGAGGTGGGTAGTAACGTGCCACATTTACTCGGTTACATTTACTAAAGTAACTTTTGGAGCAAACTGTACTTTTAAAACTTGTTTTTAAAAAAAGAGAACATTATACTTGAGTATATTTGTAAGGTCAAAAATGTGCTTCAATTAAATGCATCTTACATGACTTCATTTGACCAATCAAACACATTTATATGGATACTGTAAACTACAGGTACCATAGTCGTTAACTGCAGCCGGCTTGGTGGAAGAACCACAGATTTCAGTGCGTTACCAGACAGCATTGACTTATACAGCAGACCTGTGGTCTTATATTGAGGCAGTGTTTTCTCAACAGACGACCAAAACCATTAGTGTATCATGCACTGCGTACTCTGTCAACCTACAAATGTGGATCGTTAAGCATTTATGAACTCAACTTTCAACTTGAGAAAACATGTCACAGTACGTTATTGATTTGGCTGAAGGGGTGTGATGGAGTTAACAGCTCACCGTGTGGCTAACAAGCAAACAAAGAGTATCATGCATGACATTAATGTTTAAGTTGTTTTACTTTAGCTGTGATACATTAGTGAGGTTATTAGTGACCACTGAGCATGAATTGATGTGAAATAATGTTCACATCTTGAGCTGAGTCTGTTTGCCAGGGCCTTCTCTACCTGAATAGTTGTTCTTGAGCTAATCTGAAGGCCACATGAAGTCTGTAGCGATTGACTCTGCAGAAAGTTGGCGACCTCTGTGCATTATGTGCCTCAGCATCCACTGACCCCGCTCTGTCATTTTACGTGGCTGAGTTGCTGTCGTTCCCAATCGCTTCCACGTTGTTATAATACTGCTGACAGTTGACTGTGGAATATTTAGGAGTGAGGAAATTTCACAACTGGATTTGTTGCACAGACGGCATCCTATCACAGTACCACACTGGAATTCACTGAGCTCCTGAGAGCGACCCATTCGTACACAAATGTTTGTAGAAGCAGTCTGCAGGCCTAGGTGCTTGGTTTTATACACCTGTGGCGATGGAAGTGATTGGAACACCTGAATTCAATGATTTGGATGGGTGAGTGAAAACCTTTGGCTATATAGTGTATGTAGGTCCTTAAAAAGGGAAGTAGATGAGCTGCAGGTGAAAGAGATCAAGGCATCACCAGGAAACAGATCAATACTCAGGTGATGCTGACCTCTGGTGTTGAAGGTGGGTATTACACCTGACACTGTTATTATATTACCTCAGTAATAACATTTTGCTTAAAGCAAAATTCTGCAACAATTTTACCTTAAAAACAGCTTCAAAATCTTTTTGATGGGATCTTAAAACATCGACTTAAAACAGGGACAACAGCATCTCTGTCTGTTACATTGCAGGCCCAGAACACCTGCTATAGCACTAAGTAACTTTGGGGGAGCGGGCACGAAACCTCTCACAACAACTGCATAATACTATACGGCACCACATCACACATTAGCAACTATGGTTCTTCATCTAGCTATTAGAAGTAGCTCGGTATTTCCAGTGTGCACATGATGGCAGAGGCTGCCAAAAGACCAAAGCAGACACTGTTGGAGAAAGCGAGGAAGAAAAAGTCAGAGAAGACTGGACCAGAGTAAATCTCTGAACTGGCTTGTACTCATTGGCCAGCTTTTAAAAATGTATTTTATAACAAAAAAAAAAACAACTTTATAAGAATTTAATAAGTTGTATACAGTATAAAATGTGTTTGTTCTCTCACTGGGTGAGGAGGTAGAATTTACTGACTAGTCATCAGACTTGTAGATACCTACAGCACCATTGTAGGATGTGAACAGGCATGTTTACAACAGATGTAGTGATGGTTAAATGCATCATTTTTTAAATATTCTTTTAACACATTTGAATTTGAATTAGTCAGTGAGCTGAATGAGCTGTGTTGGGTCCCCAGGAGTGACTTTAGTAAACCCTGGTCTACTGTACTACAAAAACTAGTCTTAAGTGAGGAAGATTATGTCTTATTCTCTGCATCAGAGGTCATTGTTGTACCAGTGGAGTAGACAGAAATACATTTTTAGGTAGGCCTTTCAAAAATTGGGTAGGACAGTGTAGTAGATACAACTTTCAAGTGTGCTGATGTTCCACAATGCCATTACATAAGGCCTATTCCTGACAGCCATGCAGTCACCACCCTACCTATTCCAACACTTCCACACCATAGTCTGTCAATCATTCAGAATACTGGATTCACATAAACACAGACTACAAAGCAAGCATCTAGTCACCACAGGCCCATTTGCCCAAAGAAGATGGCATGACTAAGTTAAAATCAGACAGCTGTGATGTGCAAAGAGACGTAAAAATCTAAACCTAACAGCTGAAGCCAATAACGTATTGCCATGGCAGAAAAAAAAGATGGTCCATTCATGTCTTGCCTTTGATTTACTTAAGTAACATTAGCGTTAGATGTTTGGTCTGATGTTTTTTACAAAGCCCACTTTGTAGTAAACCCAAAGATAACAGCTTTTTTTTGGCGTTGCATGGGTAGAAAATGACATCAACTAAATGGATCTCATTTTTAAATGTCCCTAGTTAATCATTTAACCACAGCTGGGGCTTCAAATTGGAGCTTACATGAAATGTTCAGAAAAGCATATTCTACTGTATTGTGACAATTTATAACAAACTGAAAGACCATGGCGGACAGCAACAGTTGTGAAGTAGTGATTGGAGGAATGAGGAAATAAGGCAGAGCTTGGCAGGGACAGTAATGATTTGATTAGGGATAATGCAATGGCAGCACTCACAGACACCAAATCAAATTTCATTATCTTAAAAAAATTTGACTAAATAAATATTGTTGCTCCATTTGAATGATTAGGCCAGTGCTAAGTTACTGTAGGAATAAAAAAGACAGTGATGCTGATGTGGTTGTAAGCTGAGATGTTGTGAGATGAGAAAATCGATGTGTTGATGTGTTACAGTTTTTAATGTTGAGGTGGTGCTCTTCATTGGCAAAAACACCTTTCCCTGTGTACAGCTCCCCACGGTACCAACAACATACGAATTTCCTTCCCCAACCAGCCAGCCTGACCACATGACCACAGCATATGACCCAGTCAGCGTAGCTCACTGGTTTGAACAGCACAAGTCACTATTACTTAAAACAATGACAGACCCAAGATTATAATTGCAACATATGATTACAATATGATTGCACAACAACATCTATCATAATAAACAAACTATTTGTCTGGTTAAGCGCTTCAAAACATTAGGAAAGCAGCATGATTTCCTGCGACAGCTACACCATGCATCTCTGAGCTGATGTGTGCAGCAAAAAGACCACATATATACATGAGGCCTGTTTTCACACCACTGTGCTTAAAAGGTCCTCTGACGTTATTTCCTGTCCGGCCTGGGTTTCATTAGTGAACTCCAGTGAACACTGCGATTCTGTACTGAAGTGTTAACTGGAGTGTTAACACTGCAGATTCTGTACTGAAGGTTTAGCGGAGTATTAGAGAAACAGAGAGAGAGAGAGAGAGAGAGAGAGAATGGCAGAGGGAATCTATGATGATGTGAGCAGTGTTGAGCTGACTGAAGCAGACAGAGGAGAGAGAGTGGAGAAGACGGTGGCGATTTATATGAGTGCAGACGCTGTTAGAGCTCAGGAGACCAACACACAGAGGGGGACAACAACTCAGCAGACAGGTAGAGTAACTCTCAGTGCACAAACTCTCAGTGTGTTCACAACGAAAACTTCTTCTAAGTTAATTCACTCTTTATCAGACGTTAGAACAGGAATCAGATGTTCCAGACTGGCTGTGGTGTGTGTGGGGCTGCTGTGTGTTCTCCTGCTGACTACCAACATAGTGCTGTACATGTACTGTGAGTGTTTCAGTCTCAACACAAATATTTCATCTTCCAAATACAGATATACAGAATGCATCTGCTGTAATATAAAAACTGTAATACATTCTGAATGTAGATATTAGAGACCAAACCATCATAGTAAACCTCACTGCAGGGAGAGAAACTCTCTTATCCAGTATCAGAAACCTGACTGAAGAAAGAGACCAGCTAAAGAGCAGCTACCAGAATCTGACTGCAAAAAACATCTTACAAACCAAATATGATCATTTAGTGAAGCTGATTGGTGAGTGAAACACCATCCTCATAATTAATCAGCACAAATATTCATTCATGCTTCTAAAATATGTTTGTTCTCATTGCTCTGTTGTAGAGAAAAGCTGGTTTAAAGAATTGAAGAAGAACAGAAGCAGCTTTTACTTTTTCTCCTCTGAGAAGAAGAACTGGAGTGAGAGCAGGCAGGATTGCAGAGAGGGAGGAGCAGATCTGGTGATCATAAACAGCAGAGAGGAACAGGTGAGAAGAGAGAGAGAGAGTGTCGGGACCAAGAGCTATCCCCTTCAACCCCAGGCCTCCAACAAAACATAATTAAAAAAGAAACCTCTTAATACTGGCTAAACACTCACGAATAACTGTCTTAAGTCTAAGTTCTCGGAAGATGTAAAAAGAAAAAAAGACTTCAGGCGTTGAGTTTGTGAAAAGAGAAAAAGGCTTCTTTATTTCAGCATCGATGATGCTCTCCGGAGACTGACTGCTCGATACAGTGTCCGGACCACTCCTTATATACCCTTATCTGGGGTGTTATGATATCATCTCAAATGTGATGTTCCATTAGTCACCATTCATAAACTTCCCCAACACTTGGCCTCCCTTAAGTTCACTGTGTACAACACTTCTTTGTTTAAAAAAGCTGGTTTCAGTCAGTTCGTACCAGTTTATCTCATCCTACAAGGCCACACTGATCCATATATCATATGGACTCACATGGCTTCACTGAGTGCACCCGCAAGTAAGGTCATTTAAGTTCATCTGCTTTTGGAAAGCCCCCAAACGGGCAGACTATGGCCTATTACTTCCTATATTACCTCTTAGTGAGAAATGAATATCCCCTTTCAGTCAATGCTTAACTATCTGATTATTGATTACATGTCTAATCTATTTACTTATTGATTAAGGGTGTATTTATTCAAAGTTTCCCATAGAGAGAGAGAGAGAGAGAGAGCAAGAGAGAGACAGAGCAAGAGAGAGAAAGAGAGAGAGAGTTTTGTTAGTTTGTTTTCTTTTTTTTCAGATGTTCCTCATTGACGAAATGAAAGAGAAGAGTTTCTGGATTGGTCTGACTGATGAAGAAGCAGAAAAGACATGGAAGTGGGTGGACGGCCAACCTCTGACTGACGAGTACGTCAAGATACAAAAAAGTAGTTGCAGTCAATATTATATATAACTTTTAATACTTCTGTGCTTCTGAGTTTATGAAGGTGTTCTTGTACAGAACTGGCACTGTTTGTATAGAGTAAAGACCCTCAGTAGCTGCTGTGAACTGGATTAATTTAAATTCTTGTTTTGTAAACATGATGATTACAGATTATTGCTGTGTCTGATTGCCAGATTCTGGAGGCCAAATGAACCCAACAATGGTGGTGGTGGTGAGGAGGACTGTGCTATTTTCACCACTGCAGACAAAGACAGTCAGGAAACATGGAACGATCTTTCCTGCTCAGGGACAGAAAACTGGATGTGTGAATTCAATCTGACAAACTTCAACCTGAATACTTCAACTAAACACCTTTAGATTTTCACTGCTAATCTTGGGATAAAAGCATAAACAGAGGCTTTAGAAGCTGTTGAACTGAAATTTAAAGAATACAGGACTTGAGCATGTTACTTTGACACAAATCATAATTCTAAATGAGAACCAACAGATGTTGTACAGATGTTTTTTGATTAATAGTACAGATGTATGTGATTAATAATTTAAGTTTTTTTTGTTAATTGTTAGTGCTTTTAAAAATAAACAAAGACATAATCAGATACTTTAGAAGCTGTTGAGCTGAAATTTAGGGAATACAGGGCTTGAGCCATTACACTTGGACACACATCATTATTTGAGTTCTAAATGAGAACGAACAGCTGTTATACTGAATATACAAATGTATGCAATTAATTATTTCATTTTTATATTGTTCATTGTTTATATTGCTTTTGAAAATCAAATGATATTGATTACATGGAGTAGACAAGGTATTTAATTGATTCCATTAAGGTTTCAAGATATTACAATGTGAACAGACACTTTTATTATCAGTTGTAGAGTTTCTGCTGTTTTAGCTGTTTCTTGCAAACACGCTGCACATTGATGAACCTCTGTTACCATGGAGACTGAAGGGATGGAGACTGAAGGGGCGGAGCCTGTACCACCATGATTGTCCATTGGCTGAATGTACTGTAGGCTGGATGTGGGGTGTGTTCAACACAAGATATATGTAGTTACATAAACACACTGTAGAAACTTTTTAAAGTCACAGGTGGTTTTGACCTGTCTACGTAATTCTCTACAAGTTTCAATCCGAGTCAGAAGTCCAAACATTTTCTCCCTGATAAGTGAACCTATGTCGCATGAGCTAAAGTGATATGATGGTTAAACTCTCTCTTAACATTCAAGGCCTACTGTATATAAAAACAGTGCAGTTTTAAGTTATAATGTGTGTGTGTTTTAAACATGAGGAAAATATAATAAAACAGCAAAAAAAAAAACCAGAAAGCTAGTAATGCAGCATGTCTCCTTCTTTGACTTACCAGAAATGAGAGTCTCCCTCTCTGCAGTGAAGGGGGTTCCAGACGGAAAAATGACTTGGATCGCACTGTCCTTTGTCCTCTTTCACATTAACATCTGCATTGAGAAAAAAAGTTTTCAAAAATTCAAAAACATGCCAGATGTCTGCTTCTTTCTAAAGTATCCTTAGTTATCAGTGACTACTTCATTGTTAAAAACTAAATCTAAGGTATTGTAACACCCTCTCTATAGGGCCTGTGGACTATGCCACCCCTTACTTTATGCCTGGAGATAAGAGGAACTCCATTAAGATGGAGCCCAACTCGGTTACTGAAGTAACATCAGCACAGTAACAGACCTAAGATCACTATGTGCAATGCAATGGAGCGGTGTAAAGCATACCGCCACTAGACTTTGCAGCAGCAGAATGTGCTCTCTGGAGTGATGAATCATATCATTGATAACTCTATTTCCATGAAATTAGAAAGGGTGTCCCAATACTTTTGTCCATACAGTGTGTGTTTATATATATATATATATACACACACACAGTGTGTACATATATGTGTACATACAAACATGTATATAAGTATATATATGGACAAAAGTACCTGGACACCCCTAATTATTGAGTTCAGGTGTTTCAGCCACACCCAGTCTTGAAAGACAAACACTGGCAGTGGAATGAGTCATACTGATGAGCTCAGTGACTTTAAACATAGCACTGTCTTAGGATGCCACCACTGCCACAAGTCAGTTTGTGAAATTTCTGTCCTGCTAGATCTGCCCCTGTCAATTGTAAGTGCTATTGTGGTGACATGGAAGCATCTAGGAGCAACAACAGCTCAGCCACGAAGCGGTAGACCACGCAAACTCACAGAGTGGGGCTGTCGAGTGCTGAAGCACACAGTGCCTATCCTCTGTTGAATCACTCACTAAAGAGTTCCAAATTGCCTCTGGAAGCAACACCACCAAAAGGCAGCTACACACAAGCCAGTCAAGTCATAGTCTTTTTTTATATAGCACTTTTTAGAACAGATGTTGTGACAGCACCAACACTCCCAGTTTACCATAATCCTCTATGTCCATGAACCTCCTAGATCTGCACCCCTTAGCTAACAGGAAAAACTAATTACCAAAGACTTGACTAAACAAGTACGGTTTTAGCCTAGACTTAAAGACTGAGGCCGTGTCTGAGTCCTGAACACTGACTGGAAGATTATTCCAAAGCTGGGGGGCTTTGTATGAGAAGACTCTCCCCCTAATGTAACTTTATTAATTCTAGGTACTAATAGCAAGTCAGCACCTTGTGATCTAAGTAGATGTGATAGTCAATAATAAGAGAGAAGTTCACTCAGGTACAGAGGGGCCGTTTAGAGCTTTATGTTAGTAAAAGAATTTTGTACTCAGTGCGGAATTTAACTGGCAACCAGTGTAGGGTTGATAAAACTGGGCTGATATGGTCAAACTTTTTTTTAGTTCTTGTAAGAACTCTGGCTGCAGTGTCTCGACTAACTGGAGTTTGTTGAGGCTTTTGCTGGAACATCCAGACAGCAGGGCATTACAGTAATCCAGCCTTGAGGTAATAAATTCATGAATTATTAGAGAGAGATTTCTTATTTTGCAATATTGCGGAGATGCAGGAAAGCTATTCCAGTAATATTTGTTATATGTGAATCGAAGGACAGATCAGGATCGAGCATAACACTAAGGCAAGGTTTTTTACAGATGTACCTGATGCAACTGCAAAACTATTAAGTTTAAGCTTTGTTTCTAGCAGCCTAAGATCAAAACGCGCAATGCCAAATGGTGTGTCTGTTAAGTTTGGTGAAGGAGGGATAACACTATGGGGTTGTTTTTCAGTGAATGGAAATCTTAACGCTTCAGCAGACCAAGACATTTTGGACAATTGTACCCTTCCAACTTTGTGGAAAAAAAGAAGCTACTGGTGTTCTCAGAACAACAGACCTCCCAAGTCCAGAGTCCAGACCTCAACATCACTGAATGTGTTTGGGATTACGTGGATGGTGAGAAGCAGGAAATGCAAGCAACAAAAAAGTCCCTGCAGATTTCTGTGAAAGCAACGTTTTGTAATAAAGGCAAAGAGTGGACGCAGTAAATACTGAACAAATTACATGCTTCTGTGTAATTTTCAAAATAATATACAATTTAATATTTTTTCTGCCTTTTTCTTGAGTCTAAAATCTAAATAACTTGTACATAAAGCCTGTTTTGACTGGAAACTAAACAAATGACCTTTGACTTTTCCAAAGTACTCATTCTCTCACTCTCTGTCTCACACATACGCTGATTAAATGGGTCTAATGTGTTCTTTCATAGCCCAAGTATCTCTGAGCTCATATGTGCAGCAGAGAGAGCACAAATATACTTGAGGCCTGTTTTCACATCTCTGTGGTTAAAAGGTCCTCTGACGTTGTTTCCTGTCCAGCCACTTCTTCATTAGTGAACTGCAGTTCATGAACTCTGCAGTTTAGTAGAGTATTAGAGAAACAGAGAGAGAGAGAGAGAGAGAGAGAGAGAGAGAGAGAGAGAGAGAGAGAGAGAGAGAGAGAATGGAAGAGGGAATCTATAATAATGTGAGCAGTGCTGAGCTGAGTGAAGCAGACAGAGGAGAGAGAGTGGAGGAGACGGTGGAGATTTATATGAGTGCAGACGCTGTTAGAGCTCAGGAGCCCAACACACAGAGGGAGACAACAACTCAGCAGACAGGTAGAGTAACTCTCAGTGCACAAACTCTCAGTGTGTTCACAACGAAAACTTCTTCTAAGTCAGTTCACTCTTTATCAGACGTTAGAACAGGAACCAGATGTTCCAGACTGGCTGTGGTGTGTGTGGGGCTGCTGTGTGTTCTCCTGCTGACCACCAAAATAGTGCTGTATATGTACTGTGAGTGTTTCAGTCTCAAACACAAATATTTCCTCTTTGAAATACGGATATGTGGAATATGCTGTAAGAAATGTATTGTTTCTCAATGTAGATATTAATCTGAAAAAGGTAAAGGATCAAACCATCATTTCTTTGAGAGCAAACTTCACTGCAGGGAGAGACCAGCTAAAGAGCAGCTACCAGATTCTGACTGAGGAGAAAGAACAGATAAACAACACTTACAGAAACCTCATTGAGGAAAATAAAATCTTACAAACCAAATATGATCATTTAGTGAAGCTGATTGGTAAGTGAAACATCACCCTCACAGTTAATAGGCAAAAGTTTTCATTCATGCTTCTAATACATCACTGTTGTCGGAAGAAAACCTTGTATCTCCAAAATGATTACAGGAGAAGGAAAAACCCTAATTTACTTTTAATGTGAATCAATGGAATCAGACTTTTTCCAAGTAATTTTGGGCCTTTTTATTTGGTCCATTCTACATGAAATTTACAGACATTGTAAAGGCCAACAGGCATTTTCAAATTATGTCAAAAACTAAAAAGAAATTGACTAAAAAGAAAATGAAGATACAAAGTTTTCTTCCAACAGCAGCGATATGTTTCTTCTCATTGCTCTGTTGTAGAGAAAAGCTGTTTTAAAGAATGGAAGAAGAACAGAAGCAGCTTTTACTTTTTCTCCTCTGAGAAGAAGAACTGGAGTGAGAGCAGACAGGACTGCAGAGAGAGAGAGAAGCAGATCTGGTGATCATAAACAGCAGAGAGGAGCAGGTGAGAAGAAAGAGAGAGAGAGAGAGAGAAACATATTAATTTGTTTCTTGTTTTTTGTTCTTTTTCTCAGATGTTCCTCATTGACCAAAAGAAAGAGAACAGTTTCTGGATTGGTCTGACTGATGAAGACACAGACAACAAATGGAAGTGGGTGGTCGGCCAACCACTGACTGATGAGTACATCAAGAGTTGCAGTCTCTATTATTCACTATTTATTCCTATATGTATTTATATTACTTAAATCTAATGTATAACTACCACAAACTATATTTCACAGACAGTTTATGAAGGTGTTCTTGTACAGAACTGACACTGTTTGTATAGGGCAAAGACCCTCAGTAGCTGCTGTGAACTGGTTTAATTTGAGTTCTTGTTTGTAAACATGTGATGATCACAGATTAAAGCTGTGTCTGATTGTCAGATTCTGGAGGAACGGTGAACCCAACAATGCTGGTGAGGAGGACTGTGCTATTTTCACCACTACGGCTGAAGACAGTCAGCGAACACGGAACGATCTTTCCTGCTCAGGGAGAGAAAACTGGATGTGCGAATTTAAACTTCCACCTAAATACTTCAACTAAACAGTAGATTTTCATCGCTAATCTGTTAAGGATAAAGAGATGATTTAATATTTGAAGAATACAGGGCTTGGACAATACTTGTTTCCAGATGTGCTGGCAACAACATCTAGGGACATTGAGAAATAGACTTCTGAAGTTGTGTGTCATTCTGTAGTCCATGTCTTTCTAATTTAGGGGCCTAAGCAGATTTTCACTATGAGAAAACTGGACCGTATCTTCAGAAATTGCTTTCGTCGCCTCCCGTTGTGAACATAAATTGTTCCAAACCAGGTATGTGTGGTCCTGTGTGCATTTCCCCCACAGTGTCACTGTTACCTCCAAATTATGAGGTCATTAAGAAGTCATAATACAAATAATGCTACACACATGCAATCCTCGACTCCCGCACACTGAAATGACTTTGCAGGAAAGTAAGTCTGCTATAAAACCTCAACCCTATTATGGACCAACACCAACTACACAAACTGAACTCTACTACTGCCAAAGCTTGGGCTACTTTGGTGAGGTTGCCGTCTTACGTTGATTATTCAGTGCACAGCAGTGTAGCGGTAGTTGTATTTCAGCTCCTAATGACCTCAGTATTTAGAAGATAAAGTGATGTTTGGAGGAAAATTGACTATACGGCCAAATTTATCACCTTTAAAACATTTCTGATTACGACAGGGCATGATGGCAGAGGTTCTTATAACGCAGTTAGTTTTGCCTGCACATAAAAACTACTTAGACCCAAAGTTCCTAATATGGGAATGACACCAACTACAGAATGACTGCACAATTTCAGAGGTCTGTGGATGAAAACATCGGCTTATTAAGCAGTAAATAAACCCCTGGTAAAACATATGAACTCTGTGTGTCTTCTCTAGAGGTGGGCAGCAATGTGCTACATTTCTGTTACATTTACTTAAGTAACATTTTGAACAAACTGTACTTTTAAAAAGTTGTTATATAAGAGACCACATTATACTCTTACTCAACTATATTTGTAAGGTTAAAAAGGTACTTTTACTCTGTAACATTCATCAACAGTCCTCTTGTTACATTTTAACATAATTTTTAATTCAATGTGTATTTTATATGCTTAATTAAACGCATCTTAGATACACTATATGGACAAAAGTATTGGGACACCTACGCATCACACCTACAGAAGCTTTTGTGACATCTCATTCTAAATCCAAAGGCATTTACACTATATTGCCAAAAGTATTCACTCACCCATCCAAATCATTGAATTCAGGTGTTCCAATCACTTCCATGGCCACAGGTGTATAAATCCAAGCACCTAGGCATGCAGACTGCTTCTACAAACATTTGTGAAAGAATGGGTCGCTCTCAGGAGCTCAGTGAATTCCAGCGTGGTACCGTGATAGGATGCCACCTGTGCAACAAGTCCAGTCGTGAAATTTTCTCGTTACTAAATATTCCACAGTCAACTGTCAGTGGTATTATAACAAAGTGGAAGTGATTGGGAACGACAGAAACTCAGTCATGAAGTGGTAGGCCACGTAAAATGACAGAGTGTGGTCAGCGGATGCTGAGGCGCATAATGCGCAAAGGTCACCAACTATCTGCAGAGTCAATCGCTACAGACCTCCAAACTTCATGTGGCCTTCAGATTAGCTCAAGAACAGTGCATAGAGAGCTTCATGGAATGGGTTTCCATGGCCGAGCAGCTGCATCCAAGCCTTACATCACCGAGTGCAACGCAAAGCGTCGAATGCAGTGGTGTAAAGCGCCGCCACTGGACTCTAGAGCAGTGGAGACGTGTTCTCTGGAGTGACGAATTGTTCTGATGAGCTCAGTGTAAAGCACGCCACCACTGAGCTCTGGAGCAGTGGGAACATATTCTGTGGTACTGATGAATCATGCTTCTCCATCTGGCAATCCGATGGACGAGTCTGGGTTTGGCGGTTGCCAGGAGAACGGTACTTTTCTGACTGCATTGTGCCAAGTGTAAAGTTTGGTGGAGGGGGGATTATGGTGTGGGGTTATTTTTCAGGAGTTGGGCTCGGCCCCTTAGTTCCAGTGAAAGGAACTCTTAATGCTTCAGCAGACCAAGAGATTTTGGTCAAATTCATGCTCCCAACTTTGTGGGAACAGTTTGGGGATGGCCCCTTCCTGTTCCAACATGACTGTGCACCAGTGCACAAAGCAAGGTCCATAAAGACATGGATGAGCGAGTTTGGTGTAGAATAAACTTGACTGGCCTGCACAGAGTCCTGAGCTCAACCCGATAGAACACCTTTGGGATGAATTAGAGCGGAGACTGCGAGCCAGGCCTTCTCATCCAACACCAGTGTCTGACCCCACAAATGTGCTTCTGGAAGAATGGTCAAAAATTCCCATAAACACACTCCTAATCCTTGTGGAAAGCCTTCCCAGAAGAGTTGAAGCTGTTATAGCTGCAAAGGGTGGGCCGACATCATATTAAACCCTATGGATTAAGAATGGGATCTCACTCAACTTCATATGCATGTGAAGGCAGACGAGCAAATACTTTTGACAGTATAGTGTATATGGAGTTTGTCCCTCATTTGCAGCTAAAACAGCTTTCACTCCTCTGGGAAACTTTCTACAAGAATGAGTGTGGAGAGTGTCTGTGGGAATTTTTGCCTGTTCATCCAGAAGAATGTTTGTGAGGTCTGACACTGATGTTGGACGAGAGGGCCTGAATCGCAATCTCCATTCTAGTTCATCCTAAAGGTGTTAGATGGGGTTGAGGTCAGGGTTCTGTGAGGGCCAGTCAAGTTTTTACACACCAAATTCACCCAGCCATGTCTTCATGGACCGTGCTTTGTACACTGGGGCACTTTACTGGAACTAAGGGCTCTAGGCCAACCCCTGAAAAACAACCCCATAGCATTAGCCCTCCTCCACCAACGGTTGGCACAGTCAGGTGGGTAATGTTCTCCTGGCATTCGCCAAACCCAGACTCGTCCATTAGACCGCCAGACAGAGAAGCATGATTCGTCAGTACCACAGAATATGTTTCCACTGCTCCAGAGCTCAGTGGTGACGTGCTTTACACTGAGCTCATCAGTACGATTCATTCTACTGCCAGTGTTTGTCTATCGAGACTGCAAGGCTATGTGTCTAATTTTATCTGCCTGTTAGCAATGGGTGTGGCTGAAACACCTGAAATCAATTATTAGGAGGGGTGTCCCAATACTTTTGTCCATATAGTGTAGTTCCATTCACCTATCAACAGCTTCTTGCATGAGTTAATTTGATCAAGCAATACGGATACTGTAAACTACAGGTACCATATTCGTTAACAGCAGCGGGATTGGTGGTAGAACCACAGATTTCAGAGTGTTGCCAGACAGCAATGGCTCAAACAGCAGACTCTGCAGCGGAAGGAGAGCACCTGTGGCCTCATATTGAGGCAGTGTTTTCTCAACAGACTACTAAACCAGTAATTATATCATGTGCTGCCTTCTCTGTCATCCTAATGAAGATCTTAGCATTCAAAACCTCAACATCCAACTTAACATGTCGCTGTAAGTTACTGATTTGGCTAATAGGGTGTGATGGAGTTAACACTAGCAAACAAACAGTCTCATGCAAGACGTTAATGTAAAGTTGTTTTACTTTAGCTATGATATATTAGTAATGTTATTAGTGACCGCTGAGCACAAATTGATGTGATTGACTGCTTGCCAGTGTCTTCTCTACCTGCGTATTTTTAATTTTTTTTTGTATTTGAATTTGAGCGACACTGTAGCCAAATTATTATTCTTCAACAGAGGGTTCATCCCAACTAACTGAAGACATATACTCAATTAATAGAGTCTAGAAAGCGAAAATCATCATCAGCTATGGAGCACTGTATAAAGAATGCCAAGGTCACAAATGCATTTTTCCACTCTTCCAAACGTAACACGGGCAATGGTAGATAAGGTGTTTGATAAGCCTAATAAGGCTGTGATTTTTAGTCTTTTTACTAGATACTTTCTTACTTTTACCTAAATAATAATGTAAATGGCTACTTTTACTTCAGTAATTATTATTTTAAAATAACAATACTTTTACTTAGAGTTCAGTGTTTGGCTACTTTTCCCACCACTGTGATCTACAGAAGGTTTCTCAGACTCTCTACATGACCATGTACGTTATCACAAAACTATTTCTACTTTCTTTTGCATCATTGAAAGTGGTTTCTTTCATTTTTTCATTCCTCTATTTTAAGCAAAGTGTGGCAAATTCTTTGAACTAGTAAAGCTAACTAATATATTGCAATACAATCTTTTTAATATTAAACTTTTGTTAAACATCAATATCCTCTGTTTCATTCTCATTTACAGAGTTATGTACATGTAGTGATTTGAAAAGGAAGTGATGCAACACGTGACTATAAGACGACACTTAAAAGGGCTAGCTGATTATATGATAAAGAGAGATGTGTTTAAAGATGTACAACAAGGCCAACTTATGCATCATGCCAAGTATGAACACACTACTGGCGGGTCAGCAGGAACTGTCATTGTGTCAAACAGTATTCAAAAAAGCCCTTAAATCATGACGGATTATAGAGAAAAAAAATGACTGATACCTAAATGTAGAAAGAGCTTAAGTGATATAATGGTTAAAATTCCCTTTTAGTATCACATACTTATCACATACTCATTTACACTCCCTTTATGTGTAAAAATGAATATGTCCATTTCAACAGATGTAACCCTCACTGCCTACATACTTCTAAGCATGCTTTCTGTTGGCATGGATGTTAACCAAACTTCCACTAGAGGGCAGTCCAGAGTCAAAGGTTTGACAAAAAACAGGACAACAGTGGAGGAGGTTGTAATAATGTACCTATTATAAAAGAGACGAAAGAGGGCGTATTCTAGACTGTGGTGGTCTGTGAGTAAATTAAAATAATTTCACATGTTGATGGAGAATTTTTTTCACTTACATTACCAATGAGAGAAATCGACATCTTGTCTCACTTGAAATATTAGCTACGCTGCCCCAGATTTCTGGTGGTACTGCTCCGTTTTGCCCGTATCCACAAGCTTTCAGGAAGTGGACACAGAATACTGCGTTAAAAACACATGCACGTTTTATTATGAAGCACTTGTTGAAATTAGTGCTGATAACTCCTTATATGACATTGTAAGTTCCATTCACAGGTGACTTTTTTCTTCAGTGGTGTTTGTGGACTGATAACCTGCTTGTAATGAAGGCTCTCCAGAGGTGTTTGAATCCATTTTTCCCTGTTTACTCAAAAAGACAGTATCAAAATCACAAAAAAAATAATCCGGAGGTAGAATTTACTGACTAGTCATCAGACTTTGTAGGATGTGAACAGGCATGTTTACAACAGATGTAGTGATGGTTAAATGCATCATTTTTTAAATATTCTTTTAACACATTTGAATTTGAATTAGTCAGTGAGCTGAATGAGCTGTGTTGGGTGTTGGGTCCCCAGGAGTGACTTTGGTAAACCCTGGTCTACTGTACTACAAAAACTGCTCTTAAGTAAGGAAGATTATGTCTTATTGTCTGCATCAGAGGTCATTGTTGTACCAGTGGAGTAGACAGAAATACATTTTTAGGTAGGCCTTTCAAAAATTGGGTAGGACAGTGTAGTAGATACAACTTTCAAGTGTGCTGATGTTCCACAATGTCATTACATAAGGCCTATTCCTGACAGCCATGCAGTCACCACCCTACCTATTCCAACACTTCCACACCATAGTCTGTCAATCATTCAGAATACTGGATTCACATAAACACAGACTACAAAGCAAGCATCTAGTCACCACAGGCACACTTGCCCAAAGAAGATGGCATGACTAAGTTAAAATCAGACAGCTGTGACAGCTGAGATGGGAAGCTGTATCTCAGCTCCAAACTGGGCAGCATAGCGCGAAAGCCCCGGTTCTCAACGACACCGAACAGACCCTAATCCTTGGCATTAAAAGTAAAAACTCCCAATTTGGGTTGAAGCTTTGACTTCGCTTGCTTGAACAATTGGAGACGAACGGACTTATTCACATTTATAAGCAGAGCAGTTGGTTTTCCCCCCACCCCTGTTCCTAGTTAATCATTTAACCACAGCTGGAGCTTCAAATTGGAGCTTACATGAAATGTTCAGAAAAGCATATTCTACTGTATTGTGACAATTTATAACAAACTGAAAGACCATGGCGGACAGCAACAGTTGTGAAGTAGTGATTGGAGGAATGAGGAAATAAGGCAGAGCTTGGCAGGGACAGTAATGATTTGATTAGGGATAATGCAATGGCAGCACTCACAGACACCAAATCAAATTTCATTATCTTAAAAAATTTGACTAAATAAATATTGTTGCTCCATTTGAATGATTAGGCCAGTGCTAAGTAACTGTAGGAATAAAAAAGACAGTCATGCTGATGTGGTTGTAAGCTGAGATGTTGTGAGATGAGAAAATCGATGTGTTGATGTGTTACAGTTTTTAATGTTGAGGTGGTGCTCTTCATTGGCAAAAACACCTTTCCCTGTGTACAGCTCCCCACGGTACCAACAACATACGAATTTCCTTCCCCAACCAGCCAGTCTGACCACATGACCACAGCATATTAGTGGTTTGAACTGCACGGGTCACTATTACTTAAAACAATGACAGACCCAAGGTTATAATTGCAACATATGATTACAATATGATTGCACAACAACATCTATCATAATAAACAAACTATTTGTCTGGTTAAGCACTTCAAAACATTTGGAAATTAGGAAAAAATTAGGATTTTTTACGACAGCTACACCATGCATCTCTGAGCTGATGTGTGCAGCAAAAAGACCACATATATACTTGAGGCCTGTTTTCACACCTCTGGTTAAAAGGTCCTCTGACGTGATTTCCTGTCCAGCCTCATTTTCATTAGTGAACTCCAGTTAACACTGCAGATTCTGTACTGAAGGTTTAGTAGAGTATTAGAAAAACAGAGAGAGAGAGAGAGAAAGAGAGAGAGAGAGAGAGAGAGAGAGAGAGAGAGAGAATGGCAGAGGGAATCTATAATAATGTGAGCAGTGTTGAGCTGAGTGAAGCAGACAGAGGAGAGAGAGTGGAGAAGACGGTGGAGATTTATATGAGTGCAGACGCTGTTAGAGCTCAGGAGACCAACATACAGAGGGAGACAACAACTCAGCAGACAGGTAGAGTAACTCTCAGTGCACAAACTCTCAGTGTGTTCACAACGAAAACTTCTTCTAAGTCAGTTCACTCTTTATCAGCTGTTAGAACCGGAATCAGATGTTCCAGACTGGCTGTGGTGTGTGTGGGGCTGCTGTGTGTTCTCCTGCTGACCACCAACATAGTGCTGTACATGTACTGTGAGTGTTTCAGTCTCAAACACAAATATTTCCTCTTTGAAATACGGATATGTGGAATACTTACAGCATAATATAAAAACTGTAATTCTTTCTGAATATAGATATTAATATAAATAAAGGACCAAACCATCATTGTAAACTTCACTGCAGTGAGAGAGACCCTCTTATCCAGTACCAGAAACCTGACTGAAGAAAGAGACCAGCTAAAGAGCAGCTACCAGAATCTGGAGAAAGAGCAGATAAACAAAACTTACAGGAACCTCACTGAGGACAATCAGTCTGTAATCATCACATGAAAAAAAATCTTTATATTCACTGCTAATCTTGGGATAAAGGCATAATCAGATACTTTTTAGAGATTTAGAGATTACAGGGCTTGAGCCATTATACTTTAACACAATTTAATTTAATTCTAAACAAGAGCCAACAGACATTATACTGAATATACAAATGTATGTGACTAATTATTTCATATTTTTATTGTTAATTTTTTATATTACTTTTGAAAATCAAATGATATTAATTGCATAGAGTGGACAATGTATTTAAATGATTTCATCAAGGTTTAAAGACATTAGAAAGTGCACAGGCACTTTCATTATAAGTTATAGAGTTTCTGCTGTTTACTGTATCTGACACACACACTGCACATTGATGAACCTCTGTTACCATGGAGACTAAAGGGGTGGAGCCTCTCACACAATTTCTGCATAATCTTTAGTTCAAACTGAACGTCTGTTTCAAAGTAATGTTCAGCTGTTGCAGGAAGCATAATTACCATGTAGGCCTTTGTTGGCCTTGCTTTGGTTTTCACACCTAAAAATGACATTGTGGGCTCTTCTGACGTTATTTCCTGTCCTGACACGTCTGCATTAGTGCACTCCAGACACTGCAGTTTATGTAGTGAAGAAGGTTGTAGTTTAGATACGAAACGTCACAAAGACAATGGTGGAGGGAATGTACGCTGGTGTGGGCAGCTTAAAGCTGAGTAAGATGGACACAGAGGAGATGACAGTGGTCATTTATTTCAGTCAAGACGCTGTTGGAGCTCAGGATACCAGCATAGAACCACAGGACATCAACACACAGGCGGAGATGAGGACACAGAAGAGTACAGGTAGAGTAACTTAAGCAGAGATGTCTGCATTATTATTAAGTGTGCTCACAATGAGAACTGAATAAAAAAGGAGGTGAATGTTTTCTTTATCAGTTGTTAGACAGTCAAGTGAAATGTTATTACTGTGAAATGGAAGCATTTATGAACAACAGCTTAACCACAAAGCGGTAGACCATGCAAACTCACAGAGCAGGGCCAGGGAGTGCTGAAGTGCACAGTGCCTATCCTCTGTTGAATCACTCACTAAAGAGTTCCAAAGTGGAAGCAAGAACTGTGCATTAGGAATTTCACAAAAAGCCGAGCAGCTACACACAAGCCAGTCAAGTCAAGTCATAGTTTTTTTTTTTTATATAGCAATTTTTACAACAGACGTTATGACAGCACAAACACTCCCAGTTTACCATAATCCTCTATGTCCATGAACCTCCTAGATCTGCACCCCTTAGCTAATGGGAAAAAACTTATTACGAAAGACTTGACTAAACAAGTAGGTTTTTGCCTAGACTTAAAGACAGGGCGAGACTGGAAGATTATTCCAAAACTGGGGGGCTTTGTATGAGATGGCTCTCCCCCCTGATGCAACTTTATTAATTCTAGGTACTAATAGTAAGTCAGCACCTTGTGATCTAAGTAGGCATGATGGTTCATAATAAGAGAAAAATTCACTGAGGTACTGAGGGGCCGTTTAGGGCTTTATATGTCAGTAAAAGAATTTTGTACTCAATGCATAATTTAACTGGCAACCAGTGTAGCTTTGATAAAACTGGGCTGATATGGTCAAACTTTCTGGTTCTTGTAAAGACTCTGACTGCAGAATCCAGAACATCCAGACAGCAGGGCATTACAGTAGTCCAGCCTTGAGGTAATAAATGCATGAAATAGCTTTTCTGCATCCTGCAGAGAGAGTGCCTTTCTTGGTTTAGCAATATTGGAAAGCTTTTCTAGTAATACTGGTCATATGTGAATCGAAGAACAGATCAGGATCGACCATAACACCAAGGCAAGGTTTTTTATAGATGTACCTGATGCAACTGATAGACTAGTAAGTTTAAGAGTTAAATTAGGCAGTTTGTTTCTAGCAGCTCAAAACACACAGTGACAAATGGTGCGTCTTTCTGGAGCAGTGGAAACACATTCAGTGGAGAAACGAATCATGCTTCTCTATCTGGCAGTCTGATGGACGAGTCTGGGTTTGGCGAGTGCCAGGAGAACATTACCTGCCTGACTGCACTGTGCCTATTTGTTAGGTCTAAATTATTAAAAACAAAATTGAACCGAGTTCTTCTCCAGAGGTGGGTAATAACGTGCCACATTTACTCTGTTACATTTACTAAAGTAACGTTTGGAACAAACTGTTCTTTTAAAAGTTGTTTTAGAAGAGAGAACATTATGCTCTTACATGAGTACATTTGTAAGGTCAAAAAAAGTATGTTTACTCTGTTCATCATCAACATTCCTCCTGTCATATTTTTAAATGTTTTTAAATTGACGTGTATTTTATGTGCTTCAATTAAACGCAGCTTACATGACTTTATTTGACCAATCAAACACATTTATATGGATACTGTAAACTACAGGTACCATAGTCGTTAACTGCAGCCGGCTTGGTGGAAGAACCACAGATTACCAGACAGCATTGGCTTCTACAGCAGACTGTGCAGTGGAAGGAGAGCACCTATGGCCTCATATTGAGCCAGAGTTTTCTCAACAGACTACAAAAACCAGTAATTATATCATGCACTGTGTACTCTGTCAACCTAAAAATGTGGATCGTTAAGCATTTATGAACTCAACATCCAACTTTAGAAAACATGTCACAGTACGTTATTGATTTGGTTTAAGGAGTGTGATGGAGTTAACAGCTTACCGTGTGGCTAACAAGCAAACAAAGAGTATCATGCATGACATTAGTGTTTAAGTTATTTTACCTTTGCTGTGATACATTAGTGAGGTTATTAGTGACCACTGAGCATAACTTGATGTGAAGTAATGTTTACATCTTGAGCTAAGTCTGTTTGCCAGGGCCTTCTGTACCTGAGTTTTTTGTTTTTTTGTTTTTTTTTGAAAAAATTTGGAACTAAGTGGTTTCTTTCATTCTTTCATTTCTCTGTTTTAAGCAAAGTGTGGGAAATTCTTGAACTAGTAAAGTAAGTAAAGTAGTGCAATATATTGCAATACAATCTCTTTCATATTAAACCTTTGTTAACCATCAATATCTTTCCTCTGCCTCATTCTAGGACTAGCTGATTATATGATAAAGATAGATGTGTTTAAAGATGTACAACAAGGCCAACTTATGTATCATGCCAAGTATGAACACACTACTGGTGGGTCAGCAGGAACTGTCATTGTGTCAAACAGTATTCAGAAAAGCCCTTAAATCATGATGGACTGTAGAGGAAAAAAAATGACTGATACCTAAATGTAGAAAGAGCTTAAGTGATATAATGGTTAAAATTCCCTTTTAGTATCGCATACTTATGTGAAATGTTCTTTCAAGGAAAAATGTGTGCCTGTTACGGCTCATTTACACTCCCTTTATGTATAATAATGAATACAACCATTTCAACCGATGTAACCCTCACTGCCTACATACTTCTAAGCATGCTTTCCGTTGGCATGGATGTTAACCAAACTTCCACTAGAGGGCAGTCCAGAGTCAAAGGTTTGACAACAGCAAACAGGGCAACAGTGGAGGAGGTTGTAATAATGTACCTATTATAAAAAGAGACAAAAGAGGGCGTAGTCTAGACTGTGGTGGTCTGTGAGTAAATTAAAATAATTTGTGACATGTTGATGGAGAATTTTTTTCACTTATATTACCAATGAGAGAAATTGACGTCACGTCTCACTTGAACTATTAGCTACGCTGCCCCAGATTTTTCAGAGAACATGTACAAATACTGATGAAATGGACTCAGAATACAGCGTTAAAAACACATGCACGTTTTACTATGAAGTCAAGCACTTGTTGAAATTAGTGCTGATAACTCCTTACATTGTAAATTCCATTCATAGGTGACTTTTTTCTTGAGCAGTGTTTGTGGACTGGTATCTTTTTGTAATGAAGGCTTTCTAGAGGTGTTTCAATCCACTTTTTCCCTTTTTTCACTTTTTTTTTTTTGTGAGATGAGAAAATCGATGTGTTGATGTGTTACAGTTTTTAATGTTGAGGTGGTGCTCTTCATTGGCAAAAACACTTCTCTCTGTGTACAGCTCCCCACGGTACCAACAACATATCAATTTCCTTCCCCAACCAGCCAGCCTGACCACATGACCACAGCATATTACCCAGTCAGCATAGCTCACTGGTTTGAACTGCACGGGTCACTATTACTTAAAACAATGACAGACCCAAGATTATAATTGCAACATATGATTACAATATGATTGCACAACAACATCTATCATAATAAACAAACTATTTGTCTGGTTAAGCGCTTCAAATCATTAGGACAGCAGCACGATTTCCTGCGACAGCTACACCATGCATCTCTGAGCTGATGTGTGCAGCAAAAAGACCACATATATACTTGAGGCCTGTTTTCACACCACTGTGCTTAAAAGGTCCTCTGACGTTATTTCCTTTCCAGCCTCGTTTTCATTAGTGAACTCCAGTGAACACTGCAGATTCTGTACTGAAGGTTTAGTAGAGTATTAGAAAAACTGAGAGCGAGAGAAAGAGAGAGAGAGAGAGAGCGAGAGAGAGAGAGAGAGAATGGCAGAGGGAATCTATGATGATGTGAGCAGTGTTGAGCTGAGTGAAGCAGACAGAGGAGAGAGAGTGGAGAAGACGGTGGAGATTTATATGAGTGCAGACGCTGTTAGAGCTCAGGAGACCAACACACAGAGGGAGACAACAACTCAGCAGACAGGTAGAGTAACTCTCAGTGCACAAACTCTCAGTGTGTTCACAATGAGAACTTCTTCTAAGTTAATTCACTCTTTATCAGACGTTAGAACAGGAATCAGATGTTCCAGACTGGCTGTGGTGTGTGTGGGGCTGCTGTGTGTTCTCCTACTGACTACCAACATAGTGCTGTACATGAACTGCGAGTATTTCAGTCTTGAACACAAATATTCTATTTGCCAAATACAGATAAACAGAATGCATATGCTGTAATATAAAAACTGTAATACTTTCTAAATGTAGATATTAGAGACCAAACCATCATAGTAAACCTCACTGCAGGGAGAGAGACCCTCTTATCCAGTATCAGAAACCTGACTGAAGAAAGAGACCAGCTAAAGAGCAGCTACCAGAATCTGACTGCGAAAAACATCTTACAAACCAAATATGATCATTTAGTGAAGCTGATTGGTGAGTGAAACACCATCCTCACAATTAATCAGCACAAATATTCCTTCATGCTTCTAAAATATGTTTGTTCTCATTGCTCTGTTGTAGAGAAAAGCTGTTTTAAAGAATGGAAGAAGAACAGAAGCAGCTTTTACTTTTTCTCCTCTGAGAAGAAGAGCTGGAGTGAGAGCAGACAGGACTGCAGAGAGAGAGGAGCAGATCTGGTGATCATAAACAGCAGAGAGGAACAGGTGAGAAGAGAGAGCGAGAGAGAGTGTCGGGACCAAGAGCTATCCCCTTCAACCCCAGGCCTCCACCAAAACATTATTAAAAAAGAAACCTCTTAATACTGGCTAAACACTCACAAATAACTGTCTTAAGTCTAAGTTCTCGGAAGATGTAAAAAGAAAAAAAGACTTCAGGCGTTGAATTTGTGGAAAGAGAAAATAGCTTCTTTCTTATCTGGGGTGTTATGATGTCACCTCAAACTTGATGTTCCATTAGTCCCCATTCTTAAACTTCCCCAACACTTGGCCTCCCTTAAGTTCACTGTGTACAACACTTCCTTGTTTAAAAAAGCGGGTTTCAGTCAGTTCATACCAGTTTATCTCATCCTACAAGGCCACACTGATCCATATATCATATGGACTCATATGGCTTCACTGAGTGCACCCACAAGTAAGCTCATCTAAGTTCATCTGCTTTTGGAAAGCCCCCGAACGGGCAGACTATGGCCTAATACTTCCTATATTACCTCTTAGTGAGAAATGAATATCCCCTTTCAGTCAATGCTTAACTATCTGATTATTGATTACATGTCTAATCTATTTACTTATTGATTAAGGGTGTATTTATTCAAAGTTTCCCATAGAGAGAGAGAGAGCAAGAGAGAGAGTGAGTGCAAGAGAGAGAGAGAGTTTTGTTAGTTTGTTTTCATTTTTCTCAGATGTTCCTCATTGACGAAATGAAAGAGAAGAGTTTCTGGATTGGTCTGACTGATGAAGAGGCAGAAAACACATGGAAGTGGGTGGACGGCCAACCACTGACTGATAAGTACGTGAAGTGTTGCAGTCAATATAATACATTATTTTTTCACTTTTCCAGTCATTATTTTGCTGTATTCAATCTATATTTAAAGTAAAACTACCATTTTCTCTGAGAGTTTATAAAGGTGTTGTTGTACAGAACTGACACTGTTTGTATAGAGTAAAGATCCTCAGTAGCTGCTGTGAACTGGTTTAATTTGAGTTCTTGTTTTGTAAACATGTGATGATTACAGATTAATGCTGTGTCTGATTGCCAGATTCTGGAGGAACAGTGAACCCAACAATGGTGGTGGTGGTGAGGAGGACTGTGCTGTTTTCACTGCAGACAGTGACGGTCAGCGAACATGGAACGATCTTTCCTGCTCAGGGACAGAAAACTGGATGTGTGAATTCAATCTGACGAACTTCCACCTGAATACTTCAACTAAACACCATTAGATTTTCACTGCTAATCTTGGGATAAAGGCATAATCAGATACTTTTTAAACTGTTGAGCTGAAATTTAGAGATTACAGGGCTTGAGCCATTATACTTTAACACAATTTAATTTAGTTCTAAACAAGAGCCAACAGACATTATACTGAATATACAAATGTATGTGATTAATTATTTCATATTTTTATTGTTAATTTTTTATATTACTTTTGAAAATCAAATGATATTAATTGCATAGAGTGGACAATGTATTTAAATGATTCCATCAAGGTTTAAAGACATTAGAAAGTGCACAGACACTTTTATTATAAGTTATAGAGTTTCTGCTGTTTACTGTTTACTGTATCTGACACACACTGCACATTGATGAACCTCTGTTACCATGGAGACTAAAGGGGTGGAGCCTCTCACAGAATTTCTGCATAATCTTTAGTTCAAACTGAACGTCTGTTTCAAAGTAATGTTCAGCTGTTGCAGGAAGCATAATTACCATGTAGGCCTTTGTTGGCCTTGCTTTGGTTTTCACACCTAAAAATATCATTTTATTCATCAGTTATTTCAGTATATCAGTTATTTCCTGTCCTGACACGTCTGCATTAGTGCACTCCAGACACTGCAGTTTATGTAGTGAAGAAGGTTGTAGTTTAGATACGAAACGTCACAAAGACAATGGTGGAGGGAATGTATGCTGGTGTGGGCAGCTTTAAGCTGAGTAAGATGGAGGAGATGACAGTGGTCATTTATTTCAGCGAAGACGCTGTTGGAGCTCAGGACACCAGCATAGAAACAAGGGACACTGAGACACAGACGGAGACGAGGACACAGCAGAGTACAGGTAGAGTAACTCAAGCAGAGACATCTGCATTATTTCTAAGTGTGCTCACAATGAGAACTGAATAAAAAAGGAGGTGAATGTTTTCTTTATCAGTTCTTAGACTGTCAACTGAAATCTTATTACTGAGAAATGGAAGCATCTACGAACAACAGCAGGGCCAGGGAGTGCTGAAGTGCACAGTGCCTATCCTCTGTTGAATCACTCACTAAAGAGTTCCAAAGTGGAAGCAAGAACTGTGCATTAGGAACTTCACAAAAAGCCGAGCAGCTACACACAAGCCAGTCAAGTCAAGTCATAGTTTTTTTTTTTATATAGCAATTTTTACAACAGACGTTATGACAGCACAAACACTCCCAGTTTACCATAATCCTCTGTGTCCATGAACCTCCTAGATCTGCACCCCTTAGCTAATGGGAAAAAAACTTATTACGAAAGACTTGACTAAACAAGTAGGTTTTTGCCTAGACTTAAAGACAGGGCGAGACTGGAAGATTATTCCAAAGCTGTGGGGCTTTGTATGAGCAGGCTCTCCCCCCTGATGCAACTTTATTAATTCTAGGTACTAATAGTAAGTCAGCACCTTGTGATCTAAGTAGGCATGATGGTTCATAATAAGAGAAAAATTCACTGAGGTACTGAGGGGCCGTTTAGGGCTTTATATGTCAGTAAAAGAATTTTGTACTCAATGCATAATTTAACTGGCAACCAGTGTAGCTTTGATAAAACTGGGCTGACATGGTCAAACTTTCTGGTTGTGGTAAAGACTCTGACTGCAGAATCCAGAACATCCAGACAGCAGGGCATTACAGTAGTCCAGCCTTGAGGTAATAAATGCATGAAATAGCTTTTCTGCATCCTGCAGAGAGAGTGCCTTTCTTGGTTTAGCAATATTGGAAAGCTTTTCTAGTAATACTGGTCATATGTGAATCGAAGAACAGATCAGGATCGACCGTAACACCAAGGCAAGGTTTTTTATAGATGTACCTTATGCAACTGATAGACTAGTAAGTTTAAGAGTTAAATTAGACAGTTTGTTTCTAGCAGCTCAAAACACACAGTGACAAATGGTGCGTCTTTCTGGAGCAGTGGAAACACATTCAGTGGAGAAACGAATCATGCTTCTCTATCTGGCAGTCTGATGGACGAGTCTGGGTTTGACGAGTGCCAGGAGAACATTACCTGCCTGACTGCACTGTGCCTATTTGTTAGGTCTAAATTATTAAAAACAAAATTGAACCGAGTTCTTCTCCAGAGGTGGGTAATAACGTGCCACATTTACTCTGTTACATTTACTAAAGTAACGTTTGGAACAATCTGTACTTTTAAAAGTTGTTTTAAAAGAGAGAACATTATGCTCTTACATGAGTACATTTGTAAGGTCAAAAAAAGTATGTTTACTCTGTTCATCATCAACATTCCTCCTGTCATATTTTTAAATGTTTTTAAATTGACGTGTATTTTATGTGCTTCAATTAAACGCAGCTTACATGACTTTATTTGACCAATCAAACACATTTATATGGATACTGTAAACTACAGGTACCATAGTCGTTAACTGCAGCTGGCTTGGTGGAAGAACCACAGATTTCAGCGCGTTACCAGACAGCATTGGCTTCTACAGCAGACTGTGCAGTGGAAGGAGAGCACCTATGGCCTCATATTGAGCCAGTGTTTTCTCAACAGACTACAAAAACCAGTAATTATATCATGCACTGTGTACTCTGTCAACCTAAAAATGTGGATCGTTAAGCATTTATGAACTCAACATCCAACTTTAGAAAACATGTCACAGTACGTTATTGATTTGGCTGAAGGGGTGTGATGGAGTTAACAGCTTACCGTGTGGCTAACAAGCAAACAAAGAGTATCATGCATGACATTAATGTTTAAGTTATTTTACCTTTGCTGTGATACATTAGTGAGGTTATTAGTGACCACTGAGCATGAATTGATGTGAAGTAATGTTTACATCTTGAGCTAAGTCTGTTTGCCAGGGCGTTCTCTACCTGAGTTTTTTATTTATTTATTTTTTTTTTGAAAAAATTTGGAACTAAGTGGTTTCTTTCATTCTTTCATTTCTCTGTTTTAAGCAAAGTGTGGGAAATTCTTGAACTAGTAAAGTAAGTAAAGTAGTGCAATATATTGCAATACAATCTCTTTCATATTAAACCTTTGTTAACCTTCAATATCTTTCCTCTGCCTCATTCTAGGACTAGCTGATTATATGATAAAGAGAGATGTGTTTAAAGATGTACAACAAGGCCAACTTATGTATCATGCCAAGTATGAACACACTACTGGTGGGTCAGCAGGAACTGTCATTGTGTCAAACAGTATTCAAAAAAGCCCTTAAATCCTGATGGACTGTAGAGGAAAAAAAATGACTGATACCTAAATGTAGAAAGAGCTTAAGTGATATAATGGTTAAAATTCCCTTTTAGTATCACATACTTATGTGAAATGTTCTTTCAAGGAAAAATGTGTGCCTGTTACGGCTCATTTACACTCCCTTTATGTATAATAATGAATACAACCATTTCAACCGATGTAACCCTCACTGCCTACATACTTCTAAGCATGCTTTCCATTGGCATGGATGTTAACCAAACTTCCACTAGAGGGCAGTCCAGAGTCAAAGGTTTGACAACAGCAAACAGGGCAACAGTGGAGGAGGTTGTAATAATGTAGCTATTATAAAAAGAGACAAAAGAGGGCGTAGTCTAGACTGTGGTGGTCTGTGAGTAAATTAAAATAATTTGTGACATGTTGATGGAGAATTTTTTTCACTTATATTACCAATGAGAGAAATTGACATCACGTCTGACTTGAACTATTAGCTACGCTGCCCCAGACTAAATAAATATTGTTTCCCCATTTGAATGAGTAGGAATAAAAAAGACAGTCATGCTGATGTGGTTGTAAGCTGAGATGTTGTGAGCTGAGAAAATCGATGTGTTGATGTGTTACAGTTTTTAATGTTGAGGTGGTGCTCTTCATTGGCAAAAACACCTTTCCCTGTGTACAGCTCCCCACGGTACCAACAACATATCAATTTCCTTCCCCAACCAGCCAGCCTGACCACATGACCACAGCATATGACCCAGTCAGCATAGCTCACTGGTTTGAACAGCACGGGTCACTATTACTTAAAACAATGACAGACCCAAGATTATAATTGCAACATATGATTACAATATGATTGCACAACAACATCTATCATAATAAACAAACTATTTGTCTGGTTAAGCGCTTCAAATCATTAGGAAAGCAGCACGATTTTCTGCGACAGCTACACCATGCATCTCTGAGCTGATGTGTGCAGCAAAAAGACCACATATATACTTGAGGCCTGTTTTCACACCACTGTGCTTAAAAGGTCCTCTGACGTTATTTCCTGTCCAGCCTGGGTTTCATTAGTCAACTCAAGTTAACACTGCAGATTCTGTACTGAAGGTTTAGTAGAGTATTAGAAAAACAGAGAGAGAGAGAGAGAGAGAAAGAGAGAGAGAGAGAATGGCAGAGGGAATCTATGATGATGTGAGCAGTGTTGAGCTGAGTGAAGCAGACAGAGGAGAGAGAGTGGAGAAGACGGTGGAGATTCATATGAGTGCAGACGCTGTTAGAGCTCAGGAGACCAACACACAGAGGGAGACAACAACTCAGCAGACAGGTAGAGTAACTCTCAGTGCACAAACTCTCAGTGTGTTCACAATGAAAACTTCTTCTAAGTTAATTCACTCTTTATCAGACGTTAGAACAGGAATCAGATGTTCCAGACTGGCTGTGGTGTGTGTGGGGCTGCTGTGTGTTCTCCTGCTGACCACCAACATAGTGCTGTACATGAACTGTGAGTGTTTCAGTCTCAACACAAATATTTCATCTTCCAAATACAGACATACAGAATGCATCTGCTGTAATATAAAAATGTAATACTTTCTGAATGTAGATATTAGAGACCAAACCATCATAGTAAACCTCACTGCAGGGAGAGAGACCCATCTTACAAACCAAATATGACCATTTAGTGAAGCTGACTGGTGAGTGAAACACCATTCTCACAATTAATAAGCATAAATATTCCTTCATGCTTCTAAAATATGTTTGTTCTCATTGCTCTGTTGTAGAGAAAAGCTGGTTTAAAGAATTGAAAAAGAACAGAAGCAGCTTTTACTTTTTCTCCTCTGAGAAGAAGAACTGGAGTGAGAGCAGGCAGGAATGTAGAAAGGGAGGAGCAGATCTGGTGATCATAAACAGCAGAGAGGAACAGGTGAGAAGAGAGAGAGAGAGAGAGAGTGTCGGGACCAAGAGCTATCGCCTTCAACCCCAGGCCTCCAACAAAACATTATTAAAAAAGAAACCTCTTAATACTGGCTAAACACTCACAAATAACTGTCTTAAGTCTAAGTTCTCGGAAGATGTAAAAAGAAAAAAAGACTTCAGCCGTTGAGTTTGTGGAAAGAGAAAAAGGCTTCTTTATTTCAGCATCGATGACACGCAGGTCTCCGGAGACTGACAGCTCGATACAGTGTCCGGACCACTCCTTATATACCCTTATCTGGGGTGTTATGATGTCACCTCAAACTTGATGTTCTATTAGTCACCATTCATAAACTTCCCCAACACTTGGCCTCCCTTAAGTTCACTGTGTACAACACTTCTTTGTTTAAAAAAGCTGGTTTCAGTCAGTTTGTACCACTTTATCTCATCCTACAAGGCCACACTGAACCACATATCATATGGACTCGTATGGCTTCACTGAGTGCATCTGCAAGTAAGGTCATCTAAGTTCATCTGCTTTTGGAAAGCCCCCGAACGGGCAGACTATGGCCTAATACTTCCTATATTACCTTTTAGTGAGAAATGAATATCCCCTTTCAGTCAATGCTTAACTATCTGATTATTGATTACATGTCTAATCTATTTACTTATTGATTAAGGGTGTATTTATTCAAAGTTTCCCATAGAGAGAGAGAGAGCAAGAGAGAGACAGAGCAAGAGAGAGAAAGAGAGAGAGAGTTTTGTTAGTTTGTTTTCTTTTTTTTCAGATGTTCCTCATTGACCAAAAGAAAGAGAACAGTTTCTGGATTGGTCTGACTGATGAAGAAGCAGAAAAGACATGGAAGTGGGTGGACGGCCAACTGCTGACTGACAAGTACGTCAAGATACAAAAAAGTAGTTGCAGTCAATATTATATATAACCTTTAATACTTCTGTGCATTATCTCACTGTATTTGATTTATATTTAAAGTAAAGCTACCATTTTCTCTGAGAGTTTGTGAAGGTGTTCTGGTACAGAACTGGCACTGTTTGTATAGAGTAAAGACCCTCAGTAGCTGCTGTGAACTGGATTCTGAGTTCTTGTTTTGTAAACATGATGATTACAGATTATTGCTGTGTCTGATTGCCAGATTCTGGAGGCCAAGAGAACCCAACAACGGTGGTGGTGAGGAGGACTGTGCTATTTTCACCACAGCAGACAAAGACAGTCAGGAAACATGGAACGATCTTTCCTGCTCAGGGAGAGAAAACTGGATGTGTGAATTCAATCTGACAAACTTCCACCTGAATACTTCAACTAAACACCTTTAGATTTTCACTGCTAATCTTGGGATAAAGGCATAAACAGAGGCTTTAGAAGCTGTTGAACCGAAATTTAAAGAATACAGGACTTGAGCATGTTACTTTGACACAAATCATAATTCTAAATGAGAACCAACAGATGTTGTACAGATGTTTTTTTTCCCTAAAGAAAATGTATGTGATTAATAATTTAAGTTTTTTTTTAATTGTTAGTGCTTTTAAAAATAAACAAAGGCATAATCAGATACTTTAGAAGCTGTTGAGCTGAAATTTAGGGAATACAGGGCTTGAGCCATTATACTTGGACACACATCATTATTTGAGCTCTAAATGAGAACGAACAGCTGTTATACTGAATATACAAATGTATGCAATTAATTATTTCATGTTTTTATTGTTCATTGTTTATATTGCTTTTGAAAATCAAATGATATTGATTACATGGAGTAGACAAGGTATTTAATTGATTCCATTAAGGTTTCAAGATATTACAATGTGAACAGACACTTTTATTATCAGTTGTAGAGTTTCTGCTGTTTTAGCTGTTTCTTGCAAACACGCTGCACATTGATGAACCTCTGTTACCATGGAGACTGAAGGGATGGAGACTGAAGGGGCGGAGCCTGTACCACCATGATTGTCCATTGGCTGAATGTACTGTAGGCTGGATGTGGGGTGTGTTCAACACAAGATATATGTAGTTACATAAACACACTGTAGAAACTTTTTAAAGTCACAGGTGGTTTTGACCTGTATACGTAATTCTCTACAAGTTTCAATCTGAGTCAGAAGTCCAAACATTTTCTCCCTGATAAGTGAACCTATGTCGCATGAGCTAAAGTGATATGATGGTTAAACTCTCTCTTAACATTCAAGGCCTACTGTATATAAAAACAGTGCAGTTTTAAGTTATAATGTGTGTGTGTTTTAAACATGAGGAAAATATAATAAAACAGCAAAAAAAAAAAACAGAAAGCTAGTAATGCAGCATGTCTCCTTCTTTGACCTACCAGAAATGAGAGTCTCCCTCTCTGCAGTGAAGGGGGTTCCAGACGGAAAAATGACTTGGATCGCACTGTCCTTTGTCCTCTTTCACATTAACATCTGCATTGAGAAAAAAAGTTTTCAAAAATTCAAAAACATGCCAGATGTCCGCTTCTTTCTAAAGTATCCTTAGTTATCAGTGACTACTTCATTGTTAAAAACTAAATCTAAGGTATTGTAACACCCTCTCTATAGGGCCTGTGGACTATGCCACCCCTTACTTTATGCCTGGAGATAAGAGGAACTCCATTAAGATGGAGCCCAACTCGGTTACTGAAGTAACATCAGCACAGTAACAGACCTAAGATCACTATGTGCAATGCAATGGAGCGGTGTAAAGCATACCGCCACTAGACTTTGCAGCAGCAGAATGTGCTCTCTGGAGTGATGAATCATATCATTGATAACTCTATTTCCATGAAATTAGAAAGGGTGTCCCAATACTTTTGTCCATACAGTGTGTATTTATATATAGGATGCCACCACTGCCACAAGTCAGTTTGTGAAATTTCTGTCCTGCTAGATCTGCCCCTGTCAATTGTAAGTGCTATTGTGGTGACATGGAAGCATCTAGGAGCAACAACAGCTCAGCCACGAAGCGGTAGACCACGCAAACTCACAGAGAGGGGCTGTCGAGTGCTGAAGCACACAGTGCCTATCCTCTGTTGAATCACTCACTAAAGAGTTCCAAATTGCCTCTGGAAGCAACACCACCAAAGGGCAGCTACACACAAGCCAGTCAAGTCATAGTCTTTTTTTATATAGCACTTTTTATATGCCTGTATTGTGACAATTTATAACAAACTGAAAGACCATGGCGGACAGCAACAGTTGTGAAGTAGTGATTGGAGGAATGAGGAAATAAGGCAGAGCTTGGCAGGGACAGTAATGATTTGATTAGGGATAATGCAATGGCAGCACTCACAGACACCAAATCAAATTTCATTATCTTAAAAAAATTAAGACTAAATAAATATTGTTTCCCCATTTGAATGAGTAGGAATAAAAAAGACAGTCATGCTGATGTGGTTGTAAGCTGAGATGTTGTGAGCTGAGAAAATCGATGTGTTGATGTGTTACAGTTTTTAATGTTGAGGTGGTGCTCTTCATTGGCAAAAACACCTTTCCCTGTGTACAGCTCCCCACGGTACCAACAACATACGCATTTCCTTCCCCAACCAGCCAGCCTGACCACATGACCACAGCATATTACCCAGTCAGCATAGTTCACTGGTTTGAACAGCACGGGTCACTATTACTTAAAACAATGACAGACCCAAGATTATAATTGCAACATATGATTAAAATATTGCACAACAACATCTATCATAATAAACAAACTATTTGTCTGGTTAAGCGCTTCAAATCATTAGGAAAGCAGCACGATTTCCTGCGACAGCTACACCATGCATCTCTGAGCTGATGTGTGCAGCAAAAAGGCCACATATATACTTGAGGCCTGTTTTCACACCACTGTGCTTAAAAGGTCCTCTGACGTTATTTCCTGTCCGGCCTGGGTTTCATTAGTGAACTCCAGTTAACACTGCAGATTCTGTACTGAAGGTTTAAGAGAGTATTAGAGAAACAGAGAGAGAGAGCGAGAGAGAGAGAGAGAGAGAGAGAGAAATGGGGGGGGGGTTGTAGACTTATTAAGCAGGAAATAAACCCCTGGCAAAATGTATGAACTGTTTGTTAGGTCTAAATTATTAAAAACAAAATTGGTTCTTCTACAGAGGTGGGTTGTAATGTGCTACATTTACTCTGTTACATTTACTTGTAACATTTTGAACAAACTTTAATTTAAAAGCTCCTTTAAAAGAGACCACATTATACGTATAATTGAGTACATTTGTAAGGTCAAAAAAGTACTATTACTCTGTTACATTCATCAGCATTCCTCCTGTTACATTTTTAAATGTTTTTTAATTCAACGCATATTTTACGTGCCTTAATTAAACGCACCTTAGATACGCTATATGAACAAAAGTATTGGGATCTATTAATGACATCCCATTCTAAATCAATAGGCATTAGTATAGAGTTGGTCCCCCTTTGCAGCTTTGATCTTATGTGACTCCGTAGTACCATAGTCGTTAACTGCAGCTTGGTGGTAGAACCAGTTTTCAAAGCGCTGCCGGACAGCAATGGCTCAAACGACTGTGCAGTGGAAGGAGAGCACCTGTGACCTTATATTGAGGCAGTGTTTTCTCTACAGACTTCCAAACTAGTAATTATGTCATGTGCCGCTGTCAACCTAAAAATGTGGATCTTAGCATTCAAAAACTGTCATGCAAGACGTTAATGTAAAAGTTGTTTTACTTCAGCTATGATACATTAATAATGTTATTAGTGACCACTGAGCATGAATTGGGTTCACATCTTGAGCTAAGTCTGTTTGCCAGTGCCTTCTCTACCTCAGTAGTTTTTTGTATTTGAATTTGAGTGACACTGTAGCCAATTTTTAAACTTTGTTCTTCAACAGAGGGTTCATCCCAACAAACTGAAGACTTGTAGTGTCTTCTATGAAGAACGCCAAGGTCACAAATGCATTTTTCCACTCTCCCAAACGTAACACAGGCAATGGTAGATAAGTTATCAGATAAGCCTAATAAGGCTGTGATTTTGCCCTTTACATGACCATGTACATTATTACAAAACTATTTCTACTCTCTTTTGCACCATTGCACTAAGTATTTTCATTCTTTTTTTCTTTCATTCTTTCTATTTTAAGCAAAGTGTAAAATGTCCGCAAATTCTTAGAACTAGTAAAACTGACTATAACACTGATTGTACGCTGATTGTAATTCATTGCAATGCAGTCTCTTTTACATTAAACCATTGTTTACCTTCAATATCTTTCCATCGCTTCATTCTCATTTAAAGAGTTGTGTATATGTAGTGATTTGAAAAGGAAGTGATGTAACACGTGACTATAAGACGACACTTACAAAAAGGACTAGCTGAATATATGATAAAGAGAGACGTGTTTGAAGAGGTACAACTTACGTATTATGCCAAGTTTGACCACTCTACTGGTGAGTTAGTAGGATCTGTCATTGTGTCAAACAGTATTTAAAAAAAGCACTACATCCTGATAGATTGTAAAGAAAAAAAATTCTGATACCTAAATGTAGAAAGAGCTTACGTGATATAATAGTTAATACGTCCCTCTTAGTATTCAATACCTGTACAAAATATTGTACTACAAGGAAAAATGTGTGCCTGTTATGGCTCATTTATACTCGCTTTATGTATAAAAATGAATACAACCATTTTAAACAATGTGACCATCGCTGCCCACATACTTCCATCCATCCTTTCTGTTGGCATGAACGTTAACCATGCTTCCACTAGAGGGCAGTCCAGAGTCAAATGTTTCTAACAATAACAAAGATGACAACAGTGGAGGAGGTTGTAATAATGTACCTATTGTAAAAGAGATGAAAGGGGTGTATTCTAGACTGGTGGTACTGCTCCAATTTGCCCGTATCTGTAAGCTTTCAGAGAACATGTACAAATACTGATGAAATGGACGCAGAATACAGTGTTAAAAACAAATGCACATTTTACTCTGAAGTCAAGCACTTGTTGAAAGTGTAAGGCTTCATAGTAAGGTGACTTTTTTCTTCAGCAGTGTTTGTGGACTGATAACCTTTTTGTAATGAAGGCTCTCCAGAGGTCTTTCAATCCATTTTTTCCTGTTTACTCCAAAGACACTGTACCAAAATAACAAAAAACAGAATCAGAGACAGTCCAAAATAGTCAAAAACCAAGATAGCATATTTTGTTCAGAGGTTTCTTTTGTTGGAAATCCTGATTATAACAGCTGTAGAAGAAATTGTTAGCTTATTAAGTCTGACAGTAGGAGATCATGATATCATTTACATGCTATCTCAGCCTGTTTGGTTAGCTAGAGTTTCTTTATTGTCTTCTGCAGACCACTGGTGTGGGCAGAAATAAAATTTTGGAAAATTTTGACAATTGTGTGACAATTCCAAATACACTAATGTCCTGCAATGTCATAACATCAGGCCTATACCTGGCAGCTGTGCAGTCATCACCCTACCTATTCCACCTTTTCCACCTCTGTGATGATACAAGCAATAGCAATCAACCAGAAACCTGGATTCACATAAACACAACCAACACCACAACTAAAGCATCTGTCCACTCACCACAGGCACGTTTGCCCAATGAAGACGACTTAAGTTAAAATCAAACCACTGTGGTGTAGAAAGACAAGGACAAAAACACAGCAAACTTTATAGGAGTAATTTGTAAGATGACACAACTTGTGGAATTCGTACTCTAAACAATAGGGGGCAAGAAAGCAGCAAAAAGTTATGCTGTCCACCCTTATCATAAGAAACAAGGGAATGCACAGTCCCTCCCCCCTCTTCACTCCTTACCAGTCTAGAAGAAATGGTGCGAGTTCAGCATCAAACATCATCTCTACTCACAAAGAGCCGTCTCCAGTGGTGGAAAGCAACACCAGTGTTACCCCGTTTGGTTCTAGGCCAGTTTAGCACTCGGACTCTACTACTATGGAGCCATGCTGTTGTAATACATGCAGAATGTGGTTTGGCATTGTCTAATAAGCAAGAGCTTCCTTGCAAAAACCTCATCTGGATAAGAGGTCTACACAAGGCGGGTTTCCCCATGGGTTCCACGCGATCGGCAAAATAATAGGTGAGCGGGAATTAATGTGCAGTACCACAGTCATAGCAGGCACAAACCCACAACAGACATCCAGACAGAAAGCTTTGATTATTGAGAGTTCTCTTTGTAGAGAACCATTTGAACCAACAGTCACCATGAACTCTCTCTCTCTCAAATAAAGGTTAAACTGGTCTAATGTGCCCTGTGCATTTCTGAGCTGATGTGTGCAGCATTAGGTGCACACATTTATTTGAGGCCTGTCTCACACCTCTGTGGTTGGAAGCTCGTCTGATGTTGTTTCCTGTCCAGCCAGTGAACCCCATTTAACACTGCAGTTTCTGTACTGAAGGTTTAGTAGAGTAGCGGAGAAACACACAAAGAGAGAGAGAGAGAGAAATAGAGACAGAATGGCAGAAGGAATCTATGATTATGTGAGCAGCGCTGAGCTGAGTGAAGCAGACAGAGGAGAGAGAATGGAGGAGACGGTGGAGATTTATATGAGTGCAGACGCTGTTAGAGCTCAGGAGACCAACACACAGAGGGAGACAACAACTCAGCAGACAGGTAGAGTAACTCTCAGTGCAGAAACTCTCAGTGTGTTCACAATGAAAACTGTGTTCACAATGAAAACTTCTTCTAAGTCAGTTCACTCTTTATCAGATGTTAGAACAGGAATCAGATGTTCCAGACTGGCTGTGGTGTGTGTGGGGCTGCTGTGTGTTCTCCTGCTGACCACCAACATAGCGCTGTACATGTACTGTGAGTGTTTCAGTCTTAAACACAAATATTTCATCTTCAAAATTCAGCTATACAGAATGCATCTGCTGTAATATAAAAACTGTAATACTTTCTGAATGTAGATATTAGAGACCAAATAACATTTGGTAAACATTACTGCAGGGAGAGAGACCCTCTTATCCAGTATCAGAAACCTGACTGAAGAAAGAGACCAGCTAAAGAGCAGCTACCAGAATCTGACTGCAAAAAAAACCTTACAAACCAAATATGATCGTTTAGTAAAGCTGATTGGTGAGTGAAACATCATCCTCACAGTTAATAAGCACAAATATTCCTTCATGCTTCTAAAATATGTTTGTTCTCATTGCTCTGTTGTAGAGAAAAGCTGGTTTGAAGAATTGGAGACTTTTGGAAGCAGCTTTTACTTTTTCTCCCCTGAGAATAAGAGCTGGAATGAGAGCAGACAGGACTGCAGAGAGGGAGGAGCAGATCTGGTGATCATAAACAGCAGAGAGGAGCAGGTGAGTTGGGGGGTTTGTAGTTTTATTTATTAATTATAATTGATTATTATTTATGTTATTTTTTTCAGATATTCCTCATTGACCAAAAGAAGGAGAGCAGTTTCTGGATTGGTCTGACTGATGAAGAAGCAGAAAACACATGGAAGTGGGTGGACGGCCAACCGCTGACCGACAAGTACGTCAAGATAAGACACAAACAAGTAGTTAAAATCAATGTAATACAAATAATTTTTTCCCTTTTCTGTTCATTATCTTACTGTATTCCATTTATATTTAAAGTAAAACTACCATTTTCTCTGAGAGTTTATGAAGGTGTTCTTGTACATTACTGGCGCTGTATGTACAGAGTAAAGGAGCCAGAATAGCTGCTAAATATGCAATGATTACAGATTAATGCTGTGTCTGATTATCAGATTCTGGAGGAAGAACGAACCCAACAATTTTGGTGACAGGGAGGACTGTGCTATTTTCACCACTGCAGTCGAACACAGTCAGCAAACATGGAACGATTATTCCTGTTCAGGGAAAGAAAACTGGATGTGTGAATTCAATCTGACAAACTTCCACCTGAATACTTCAACTAAACACCATTAGATTTTCACTGCTGGGATAAAGTGATGGAGATCATTTAAAATTTAGAGGATACAGGGTTTAAATGTTAGTAATGAGAATGTCTGGAGACACTGAGAAATAGACCTCATGAGTCTTTCTGTAGTCCGTGCCTTTTCCATAGTAGGAACTCCGGGTCTAAGCGGATTTTACTACAATAAAATGAATGCTGTTTTCGGAATTCGCCTCCTGCACACTGAACAGACGTTGCATGAAAGTAAATCTACTATTTAACTTAAACTCTGTGAAATACTAACTCCAGCTACTCAGACTGTGTTCTTCTACTGCCAGAGCAACTGAACTACTAACACATCTGAAAACACTTATTGCTTTTTGTAGGGTGCTTTGGTGAGGTTGCCAGTCAAAAAGTGACTATTCAGTGTGCAGCAGTCTTATTTTGGCTCCTTCATGACCTTGTTGTTTAAAGGACACAGTGACATTCAGAGGGAAAATGTCCATACGGCCAAATGTATCGACTCTGAAACATCACAATAACAGCAGTTTTTAAATATGTCATTCATTTTTCCCATGGAGAAAAACTGCCTGGACCCAAGAAATATGGAAATGACACTGACAACAGAATGACCACACAAGTTCAGAGCGGTGTTTTGGGCTAAATGTGAGTGGACACCTAGACTTCTGAAGGTTGCAACAAACTGACTGTGATGTTTCTAAACCAATCCAACACCTTGTGAAGGCAGAGCTAAAACTAGCGATGGTGAGCTCATCCACATTGTCTGAAAGGGAACAGGCCTATTATTCGGCACATAGATTTAAATAGCCTGAGAACTACAGTCCAAACTGATCAAGTGTTTAAGCTGTAAATAGACTCATAGCATAGTGGATGAATTCTGTGTGCACATTTAGACCTTTTTATTCTAAAAATAAAACTGTACTGAGTTCTCCTCAAAGCTCTACAGCAGAACCTCCACTGTGATCTACAGAATGTTCACTCCACAATGATCATGTACGTTACTACAAAGCTACTTCTACTCACTTTGTACTGTTTGAACCTTTGCAAGAAATAGTTTTTCAGCTCTTTTTTGACAACTAGTGAAGCTAATTGTTATACACTGTAATGGAGTTTGCAATATAATCTCTTTCATAATAAACCACTGTTAACCATCAATATCTTTCCTCTGCCTCATTCTCATTTAATGTTCTTTACATGTAGTGATTTGAAAAGGATGTGATGCAACTATAGAGTGACACTTACAAAAAGCCAGTTGCTATGGTTTTCCCAGGTGATAGCTAAGGTGTTGCTAGGCAGTTGCTATGATGTCCCAGGTAGTTGCTAAGGTGCCGCTAGGCAAACGTTACGGTATTCCATGTAGTTGCTAGAGTGTTGCTGGGCAAACGCTACGTTATCCCAGATGGTGTTGTGAACAGTGCTGTGAAGCTGTTACTATGACATGCTAGGCAGTTGTTGTGGTTCTTGCAGGTAGTAGCTAAGGCATTGCTAGGCACGTGCTATGGTATCTCAGGTAATAGAGAACGTGGTTGTTATTTTATCCCAGGTGGTTGCTAAGGTGAAGCCAGGCCCTTGCTATGATATCCCAGGTGCTGCTAGGCCATGTCTATGGTATTCCAGGTGTTTGCTAAGGTGTTGCTAGGCAGTTGCTAAGGTGTACCCACCCACCCACTCAAAACCCACTCACCCACCCCCAGCCTGGCCTACAAGTACCAGTGAAGTGCACAAAGAAAAAAAGAAAAATATCCTGTAATTACCAATTTTACTGTAGACTAAGTAAGAAAGGTTGTAAAATTAGTTATACATACCAACACACATCAGCATGGCTGCCTAAGTGGCTGGAGAATTAGCCACAAGAGAAAAATTAATAATATTGAAAATCCATGGCTCAATCACTATTAGCAGCAACCCAGAGACTAAGAAAGAGAAAAAAACCTATTAGCTGAAAGCAAAATGAAAACCAAATAAGACTGGCACAACCAAATAAACCAGCCTACCTCAGTCAAAAGGGAAGCTATGTTTAGCAAAGATGCAAAGCAGATCACTCCAAGTACTGCAGCACAACAAGAGCCAACTACGCTACAGACAAAAGAGCAGAAGCAAAGGTAACACCACAACCCACACAATCATTCAATGCAGAAAAAAAATATCAATGCACACTTTACAAACACCAAAGAAAAAAAAATCACAGAAAAGCACGGTGCCTCAGGCAGCCAAACCAAACTGCGGACCACCTCACCAATACGGAAGTTCCCAGGAAGAGGTGGAGAGCAGTTCGAGATGTACCACCAGGTAACAGCCATCTACCTGGATATAACTTATAAGGGAACTGCCCCATAATTCAAAATGCTTATGAATCATAAACTTTAGCTTAAAAAAAAAAAATTGGGCTGGCGAAGAGGAGGAAGCCCATTTTGCTGCACTTATTATTTGCTATGTCTGTTAGCATCTAATGCAGTGGTTCCTAAAGTCAATACTGGAGAAAATTATTGTAGTTCCCTAATTTAAATGAGCCATCAAGCCTCAAACAAGAATTTAACATTTATTAGTTGCGGTATGCAGCATTCTATACTCAGCATTAAATCTCTCAGCTTCATCGCATTGGTAGTTTTTCAAAAGTTCCTTCCACCTTTAAGAAACATAATCAGAAGGCAGTTTTCCTCATCTTTAAACCAAAAAATCTCACTCTAAAGAAAGTGTTTGTAAAGTAGTGTTTGTAAAGTAATGTTTGTAGTTTGGGCCAAAAGCCACAAAGACAAAACATTATAGAAATGTAGAAGGTAGGTTGATGTGCTAACATCACTTAGTTTAAGGACATGTGAGCTGGAGTAATAAGCACAGAACATTTTTAATGAAGGAACTTGCCAGCAATACAAACAAAACGAAACTTCCAGGACTTTTGACTTTTCAGTTGTTTTTATGTTGGCTCTGTGTCAGAGAAGTGCGTGCTCTCTCTCCAACAACCTACTGACAGACAGACAAGCATAAGTAAGCTGCCATCAAATGACACACAGGTGAAAAGCATAGCCTAATCACCTGCCGGTTCACTGCGACTGGCTCTCTGCCCTGTAAACAATGCTAGACGACATTCCCGCTGCCACAGTTGTTTTCAAATCAAGTTTTTGAAAACATATTTTATGAAATTGCATCTTTTGTACTTAAAAACAACAGTTTTATAAGAATTGGTAGAAGGAAAGAGATGAGGGGAAGCACAAAAATGTGTGTAAAGGAAAGAAATATTCTAATCGAGATCTCTTGACCTCAGTTACTTCTCCTAGACACAGTTAGGTCCGATTTGAAATCAGAGTGAGACTTAAGCCATTTTCTCTTTTTTCTGAAATTGGCTCCTGAGAAATAACCCTCAGATTTTTTCACTCTGATCAAAATGTGGCTTAACTGTTTAGTGTCTGACTTGTCTCACCCCAGTCTCAGCTGAATAATATCTCCAAAGAAAAGTGTAAGATCTCATCGTCATCTGTCAGTGCAAAAGGAGAACTCAGTTTTTTCCCATTCATCATCAGAACTTCTCACAGTAAAATGCTGATGTTAATCTCCTCTTTTCTCCTAAGAGGGGTTTAGGAAAAACAATTCAGAAATCAGTGATCCTTCAATGATATAATATTGAGATCTGCTTTATTTCTCTGAGACAATCTTAAGAAAGACTTTTTTTCCTCTGGGGAGGCAAAAGCAAAAAGAAATTTTTTGCGTAGGCCAGAAAAAAAGTGTGTGAGCCAATTTGGTTGCGACAACTTCTGAACATGCTAATGTCCCACCATGTCATTACATCAGGCTGTAGCTTAGACCTGATAGCTGTGCAGTTATCACTTTATCCAGTGTAAACATTTCAACCCCTTATAGTAACATCACCACATTCTGACAAACAACCAGAACACTGGATTCACATAAACACAGCAAATACTGCAGCACCCTTTACTTTAAAGGCTACAATGTGTCCATTCACCAGAGTTTCGCCAGTGAAGATGATGTAACAAAAAATCAGGCAGCTGAAATGTACAAAGCCAAGGAAAAACATTACAGCAAACTTAAAAACCTAAAACCTATCTCCAAAGCTAAAAGCCTTTGTGGTAAAACTGTCAAACACAGAAAACTGACATTTTATTTTTTTTTTGCTTTGGGTGGCTGAAATTATTTTTAACAGCAGCTGGAGCATAAATTTCAAATCCTGGCATGCTGGTAGCAAACTGAAGGCTTAAGGTACTGGCAGACAGCAATGGTCGCTGTGCAGTGATTGCAGGGTTAAGAAAATGAGGTGGAGCATGTAATAACTTGATTGACCATAATACAATAACAGCACTCACGGAAAGAAAATTACATTAAATGATCTTAAAAATTGCAGCTGAATAAATATTCTTTCCCAATTTGACTAAGTAGGCCTGTGATCAATCTGCAGGACTGCCTGAGGCTACACGCCTGGTGAGGGGTCCCCGAGGAGTGACTTTAGGAAGCCCTGGTTTAATGCACTACAAAAGAAAGAGACTGTCTTATTATTTCCATTAGAGGTCACTGTTGCACTACATTATTAATGCACTATAAGTACCGAATTACAGAAAATAGAACAAAAAGTCTAAAATGTGCACCGGCCACATTTTATGAATATTTTTATGATAAATTCAACAAATCAACATTTGTAAAATGTCTCTGCATGCTTTAGCATTAACATTACCACTTATTGAAACTAAGAGGTGGAGCCCAAACTCCGATGGTGAAGAGTGATTCATCACTCCAGAGAACGAGTTTCCACTCTCCAGAGTCCAGTAACGGCATGCTTTACACCACTCCAGGTGACGTTTGGCATTGCGCATAGTGACCTTAGGCTTGTGTGTAGCTGCTCAGCCATGGAATCCCATTCATGAAGCTCTCAACACACAATTCTACACTGTATACACTGTAAATATAGCCATTTAATTCATGTTACTAACAGACTGATAATGGTAAAATACATTTTTTTCAGCTGCAAAGTTGCCTTACAATGCCCTACATGTACATCTCTTCCCTGCACACAATTTTACTTTTAAAAATACATTTTAAGTTAAAAGCTTTTCATTATACAATTGTAAAACTCAAGCCTCAGCCAGAGTATTGTAATCAGTTCACATAATAACTTTCTGTGAGGGAGCTTTCAAGGTCAGTAAACTC